CTTACTCATTATCTATCTAGCCAGACCAGTAACCACACTGGTATTGAATGACTTCTGCTATTGTACTATGACTTGCAATGAATGCCTTGACAATGCATGCACTTCATTGTTTCATGCACTTGTAACACATTCTTTAGTTCCAAAACCACAGACAGCTACAATAGGACAGACTATATTTATCATAGACCAAAATATATGTAAGTATCATAGCACTTGCTGTAGTGAACTCAGCTTTGAGCTAAAGTTTATTCCATACCATCCTCTCTTGACTCTACCTGCAAAGCTTTGGTCCTCACAATGAGTTCAACATTAAAGGGGGACTCTGGTGTTAGACCCACTTGACATGTGACTCTGGACACATGATAAACTAACACTGTGTCATATTTACACAACCATGTTAGAGTCCACTTTTGTGTGTTCAAGTAGTGTGTTATCAAGGCTGGTGCAAGTTAGGCTCTAGAGAAAAGTGGTATAGAATAAGCTTTAGCTTGAAGCTGGTCTATTACAGCAAGAGCTATGCTACTTATATACATTTCATGCTAGATAAATATAGTCTTTACTATTATGTGTTCTCATGCTACAGTGCTATTGTGTCTGGTCATTGAGTATGAGATAATGGGATATTGTCTATTAATGAGGCATTTGTTGCATGCTGAAGGATAATAGTGCAAGCTGCCTATTTTAGCCATATTGATTGTCCCATGGTCACCAAATGCCCTAGATAATATAAGTGGAAAAATCATAATGTCTGATGCAATTGTACAAACATGATATAACACCAGTTTATCATGAGTTTGCACTCACATGATACTTAAATCTAACATATAGAAGACTTTTATTGCAAATGATTATAACATGATGAGGTGATAATCATGCTGAGATCTTTTCCATCAGTCTGAAAATGAGAATAGCTGCCCTCTCAATTCATCAAAGATAGCCAGCCTCATCACATCATACTATAACATGACATTTCTTAACTACTTTCTTTCAATAAAGAATTGTATTTTATTCAAATATGTGTGTTGCTTATCAATTTGATAGTAATCTCTTGAGAATGAGACTTGTTTGTTGTGGCAGTCTATGCAATCATATGATCTGTTTTCATCTTTATTGCAGAGCACATTCATCCTGACTCACATTCTCATTTGTAGATCATGACTGCTTCATCTTTTCTTTGTTTTTTCAATCAATAAAATCAATCATGTATCCTCTTGCTCTATAGCTCTCAAGAAGTAGAGTGCCTTACAATCTAGGCAAAGTTGAACCACAGTGTCACTGTCATCTTTCTCCATGTGAGAGACTCCAATTTTCTCTGAGATATGTACTGATCAAAGATCAGGGATTAGCAGCAGTGCCAGTGATATAGGTTGTCTTGTGCAAAGCATCACTGCTGACCTGCAACTGCAGTATATCAAGTGGCTAATACTTCAAGTGTGCATAGTTCTTCTCATACTTGTATCAAACCATTCTGATATCTCATGTGCTCTCAGATCACATACCCCAGTTGAAATCAGAAATGGAAAAATATTTCATAGTATCTGTTTTACAAAAACATTTCTAAGTTTACTTCAAATTTAATTCCAGACTCTTCAATCATCATAAATAATTTACATCTCCATATTTCATGATTTTCACTCACCCGTAACACATGGTCCTTTCTCAACCACCACTCAGTCTAGAAATCATCTTTCCCTAGGTAAAGTGTATTTGTTATGCAACCCAAATCATTCTTCTGAAGCATGTCAAGCCCAATCATTCAGCTGATTGATGATCTTGCTATCAGCACACATTATATTCAGGCAGGATAGTTTTGTGACACCAAAAGCTGCAGCTGGCTCCTTGTTAAACTATTAGTATATAACATCAAAAACCCTTTTACTATATTTTCATCATCAGTCAATACCAGCATCAACATTGAGACTCAATTGTTTCAAAGCAGTAAGAGTTCTGAGTATGGCCAATGAGTCTAATAGTGATGTGATATGATCAGCCCCTTCAAATAATGTGGAGAGTGAGTCAACATTAATATACACAATGAGATAGCTAATCTTTTCTAAAAGCACTGGTCTGATGTGCAAACATTTGAGGGAGCAAGCAGATTGTGGTAGAAAATCTTGAAGAGAATGAATCTCATGATCAATTTCATTTTCATCCAATGTAGAACCTGAGTGAAATTTGAATGCTCTCAATGACAGTGTAGTAATAATGTCAAGTATGCTTGCATCATTGAATATTAAGAACTTTATTTGTTCTATTTGAACTGATAAGATATTGGGACATCTTGGAGATGATGGGAGATGGAATAAATGGCATGATTTATCTAACTGCAGAATGATGCTCTATGTCTATATTGCTGTCTGACAATAACCAAACAATCAAAAATGCAATGCAGTGCAACAGCCAGGATCCAAACTAAATGAAGATAAAGCAGAAGAATGAGGATGAGGATGTATAAGATGATAATAAGAGAAAAAAGGTAGAGAGATTGATAGACTATGACTGCCAGTGTTGGCACTGAAGTGGTAGTCACACCAAGAGTTTAGGAGTTTGATCTGTATATTGACCTTAGCTTGAGACTAGAGTATAATACTGTATAAAAAAGTCTTGGCAATCTCAAACCAAGCCATTGTCTCAATGCATCAAACTAAGCCTTGGCAGAGCATGATTTAGAGGCTAAAATTGTGACATTTACACTGCAACAGTAGGGGTCAGAAACTTGTATACTACTTGTTACATCATGGTATTTAACTATTCTACAGCCATGCTTTAATACAACCTGTTATATTATTATTAACAGGCAGAGCTCCTGCTCAGAGTCCTGCAGTATTCATTTCTACTGTGAGCATAGTTTCATGTGCATGTTCTGCTCTGACATAAGACTAGGCCCATGGTTTCCAAGTGATCTGACATAGGCTAGCTTGGCTAGCCTGTCTACTCACTAGTCTCTTTGTTTTTCTTATCTCCTTGGAGTAACTAGCACTTGCATGGTACTTGTTTCTGACTGCTGGATTTATCTCTTCTGACTACCATTTGGCCCTAGTATCATCTCTTTCAGCTGGTCATTCAAATATTCAGGTCTATATGGCTGTGCCTCATACCTCTGGTCCAGAGCATGTCTTTCTCTCTACCACATGTCTATGCATCATTAATCACTGTGATGCAAAGTGTTGATCTTAGTGCCAATCATTATTCTGATTGTGTTCTTTCTATTTTTAGTGTGCATCTCCATGCTGATATCAGTGCATTCAGTGCCAAGTGCTGGGACTTCATGTGCAGTAGGACCCTGCTGGTATCATCCTGCTAGCAAGTCATGCACTCCACCAATTGTCACTTCAGCCAGATAGAATGCTGAGTCTCATTTCCTCACATGCACAGTCATAACAGCCTTTGCATGCAGTCATAATGTTCCTTCATGTGCAGTTGCAGCATTCCTTTGTGCACAAGTCATAGCAGCCTTTGTGTGCATCATAGACTTAAATACACTTAATGTATCCTCAGAATTTGCAAAATTACACATGTGAACACTCTGAGGGTGTGTCAATGGAGAAGATTTATCTTCCTAGAGGAACAACCCCAACCTTATCAGTTTTGGCCAACATCAGAAGAATATATTGATGTTTCATCACCTTGAATCAATTAGCTTGTTTCAGCCAGATCACACATCTAGTCTAAATTTGTCATAGTTAACATGTATCCAAGAGCCTCTGAATTGAAGGCTTATGTGGAGAGAGGAGAATTAATGTAGATTTTTGAAAGACAGAAATCAACCATGAAATTCCTAAATGTCCAGAACAGTTATTATGCATAGAATGGTCCTGACTATGATGCATTTTTTACACTGTACAAGTCTGGAAGAGTCAGAATGTGAATTGTGAGAGTGGGGAGAGAGTTTATTCAGATGAGCAGGAACAAGACTACATTGAGGATGGCAGCAATGGAGGTGATGGTTCCAGTTTTGACTGTCACTAAAGTCTCCGGGGTCATTGAACAGTCAACAGTAGAAATGTATATGTTACATATGATGATCCTCATAAGAATGGTATCCATAAATGCCAGTCCTGTTTGGCTCCTGTCCTAGATGGCACATCCACTCAGAGGAAAAACCAAAATCATAGAAGATCAAACCAATGAGATATCGACCCATGAAGCATGAAATAGAAATATCATCAAGGCAAAACATATGAGCCCAAGTATGATGGTAGCAGCGAATTTGTGGAATTTTGAATATTCAGGAATCAGGGAGACACCAGTGGTCATCCCTACCGAGCCAGCCATAATGACGATTTGAGTATGCAGTATGAAACGAAGATGGGGAGTGTTCACCTAGAGAGAAGAATGAAAGGACATAAATGAACGCAAAGATGAGGTTTGATTTTTTCACTCGAATTCTCCAGGCGAGGAATAGCTGGACGGCGGTGGAGATGATACCACAGGAGCACCCTAAATGGTATGAAAGCATCATTCCCTATTTATTACACCTACGGTAACGACCTCGTCGGCAGAGACCACTGTTGTAGATGCCTCAGAGATATTAGTACTCATGTTGGTATTACTTACTTTTCGGTGCGACTTCTGTAGTCATCTTTTGACCTGAATATCCCGGGCATTAGAAGAGTGCTAAATCACAATTTTAAAATCTCGTCGTACCATTCTGAATAATCAATGGTTCGCAGATGATGCCGGAGTCAAAGACTGTATTGATCACCTCCAACAAGACCAAGAGCACAACCTAGAGACAGGGGTGTTCAGGCCCATTATGAATGTTTTTACGGCGAAGAAGTCAAACCAGACTCTTACTCTATCGGGAATTCCTACATCTCTAATTATGGTCTTTAGCACTGAAGCAGAGGAGAAGGTTACGTTTTGTATGTAAGATGATATAAATATGCCTGCGATCATATTAGACTCTTCTATTTTGAAGGAGGAAAAAGACTGGCTTGCACTAACAGGGCCTTGAAAAGGTTACCTAAGCTGCTACTCGACCGTACACCGTGACGGCAATGTTACCGCCATTAAAAACTAGCACCACCACCCCGAGTGCTGCCTGCGCCATGGGTGTCCCTCACATTCTTTCATCTTCTCCCCCTCTTTCCCAGCTCGGCTCGTTGTTGGTAAGTAAGCCTCCCTTTGCTTCCAGGGATAAACCAGCATTGGACCCCGGTTAGCAGCGCTGGATATATTTCCTAACTCCCCACGACAAGCCCTTCCATCGGCGGCCCGTTACAGTCCACCAATTCACAGCTATGAAAAAAATCTTCGTTCGAACGATGTCGTGACCCAGTATTTATTTTTATTCCTTGAACTGACATCTTTGGGCAGTTGAATGTAATACCGCCGGTATCACAGGTTGTGCGCCAACGAGACCAGCGTCGATGCTTCATCACAGGGAGCGCGTCACAGGACGGCACTGATCCAGTGTGGATGTTTCCGCTCTACTTTGCCTACGTCGTACAGCCACTCTTATTTTTCCTTTGCGAGACTTGCGCTCACCCGAATTTTTCACCTTTTCGCTGCGCGCCAGTTCCACAATCCTAAGCCCTTCACTATTCGTGCGATTTACAAAGTTATCTGCTCACTACAACTAATCATTTCTGCTTTGCCTCTTTCTTCTCATCTGCTTCTTCCGAAGGCGCATAATTCTCTGCGAACCTCGTCTCCCAGATATATTTTCCGAGGACACTGTGCTATCGTGGAGCCCCCGGCTGAAGTCCTTCGTCGTCACACGAACCAACCTCAAGATAGCCAGGATACAAATCATCTGGCCCTTCATTCAGAGTAACCCGAAGATGGGAGGAAGAACGGTTCCGATATCGCGAAATGTTAAAGTTCGATGATCATCTTGTCAGCACTGTGAAGGCGGTGATAGATTCAAGATGTGCTTACATCAACGTTGACACTGAAACTGTTGTGGAACGACAAGCCGAGCTGGCAAAGACGTCGAGAAAGTGAATGTATTGCGGTTCTGTTCCCTTGATTTTGTAGAAATAATATGTGGGATACTCATGGCGCCGGTAGGATTGGTTTTTGACTGTAGTGGATGTTACAAAATAGTCAAGTGGCAGCGTTACGCCATAATATGATGAGATTGTCATGGTCACAGACGCGACACGCTTTCATTAGCGCCACGATGTGGAAGCCAAGTTCATTCTGAAAATCAAGGTCTTTCTACGTGTCTCTTGCCGAAATCTACGATAATAATCAGTTCCGAACGTTTGCTCACCCACTGTCCGAAACCAGACGAAGAATGGGCAAGAAGCTGGCAGACGAATAATTGAGTGCTGAAGATGGAGCTTCACTAGCAGTCAAGGCATTTCGGTTGAAATGGACGTCGGTTCGGAGGGTCGATAATGCCCGAATAGCTGAGGTGTTAGATTGGAGGTCCTTTATATTTCTCCCCTACCTACCTTGAAAGTCTAGTCCATCCTGCACTGATTTTTGCGAGTTCTGCTTAGGATCGAGCCGCGCAGCCACATGCGGCTTCTTTTTCAACGATCACTCACCGATGTTCCCTGGGATGCAGTGCGTAACGCTCATACGTTGATGTTTCTTTCCGGATTAACGAAGAATCCGACGAAAGTGTACTATTAGCTAAACGCTTTTAGTCGCAATGCCCAGTTCTCCTCCAATGCCTTGAACACCCAGACAATTGGAGCCGAAAGTCAAATAATGCCATAAGTGTATATTCTAATGCAATGGCTCTGGCTCGAGACGCTAAGCAAGAATAATCACACCCAAAGCGGAACTTGAGACCCGGTAAATCGTCGATAACTCGACAGTCAGTCGATTTGGATGACTGAGTACAACGCATTTGATGGCCTCTCCGTTTATCCGGGACAACATATCTTTAACCTTCCCCCTCCCGGTTAATCGGCAAGGACACAGGCCGTGCTCATTCGTCAACGCTCCTCTGAGCATTTTTACAACATTACAGTAACTATTCTCGTCATCCCTGAGTGCAACTGTCTCACTATCTGGCAACCAAACAGTGTAACCCCCCATCACGCGACCCCCCCTTTACCATCCGGGTATTTAAATTTGCCGAATTGTTCCTATATATACCCCGCATGACCTTGATCGTCATTTCCCTCCCCCTTGATTCTCTTTCTTTTTTCTTGACCGCTTGTCCGTCGATACCACCACCGAGGACCGCGACGTCCCCGTCATGGACCGCCCTTTTTCGTCCCGGTTTCTCGACAAGACGCCCTCGATACAGGCTTCCCGATCAATATACTTGAAAACACTCGTCGGCGGGTGCTTCGCGATGGTCCTTGTTATGTTCTGTGTGTTCTCGATATATTGGGGCGCGCTGTGGGAGATTCCGGCGCACAATCTGGGAGGTTGGGTCGTTGATTTTGATGGATCGACGGTGGGGAAGGCGGTTGTGCGGGGCCTCACGGCGGCGGGTTCGTCGGAGAGTGACGTGACATTCACGCAGGTTTCGGCGAGTGACTTTCCTGGAGGGTGGAAGGAGGTAGCTAATAGGGTGGTGGAGCAGAAGACTTGGGTGGCTGTTGTTGGTGCGCCGCTTGGACTCTGTTTCCTTTCATCAAGCACTGATAATAACTCTCTAGTCCAATCGAATGCGACTGGCGCGTTAAACGCAGCGGTATCATCAGTGAATTCCTCTTATGATGGCTCAGAGGCAATAACGTTCTACAGCGTAGAGGCGAGGAACGAAAACGCGTAGTACGTTTCTAATTTTCTTTTAACTCTGTTCACCTTGACGTCAGTCCACCAGCCGCTCATTGATACTGCCGTCTGTCGAACCTCTCCTAATTGATATATGCCAGGAATATGCACAACAATTCGTGGCACAAATGGCCTCGTCTTCATCACTATCCTCGATAGCCAGTTCGGCGCCACAGATTTTAACCGAGCCTATAAGCTATACTACGGACAACCTCGTACCATTCGATATACCAGTGTAGGTGTCTTTCTACTTCTGTGTCATTCCGAATTGTGCTCATTTTTTTGTCTTCTAGTGCTAGCGCTATCACATTCGTTGGTCTAATCTACCTACTGATTCTATCATTCTTCATCGTCGTGCGTAACTTTCGTTCTACAACTAATTCTCAACACAAGAATTAAAGTCTCCTTCCACGTAGATGATCGGAGCATCTGCGCGAGAAGTATCTGGCCTCGAAACCAAATTAACCACTGGGTCCCTCATTCGGGTTCGGCTCACCTCGGTGTTCATTGCATACTTTATGATCTCCCTGTTTTACTCTCTCCTTAGCAGAGCCTTCCAAGTCGACTTCTCACGCAAGTGCGCATCCGTCTCCTTCATTCTTGTCCTTCCCCCCCCCCCCCCCCCCCCTCTCCTCCTTACTGACCGGCTATGTTCCAGGTTTGGAGAGGCAGGCTTTGTCATATTCTGGATGGTCAATTTCGTCGGTATGCTCTCGGTGGGACTCGCCCTCGAAGCGATGATAACGCTCCTTACGGTCCGATTCGTGCCGTTCTTCCTGATTCTGTGGATTATATGTGAATGCCCACCTCCTCTTTCTTTCCGCCATTGTTTGACGCGAACTCCTTTAAAGGTAATGTATCCGTATGCTTCATGCCCCTCGCTGTGCTTCCCAATATCTATCGGTATGGCTATGCGATGCCGTTTTACAATGTCTCTGGCGCTATGCGGACTATATTATTCGGAACGAAGAACGAGTGTGAGTTTTTTTTTTCCGGCAGCACGGATATCTCCCGTTGGTCACTGATGTTTGAGAGGCCTAGTGGGCCTGCATTTTGGGATCCTTATCGCGTGGACGGTGATTTCGATGATCACGCTTCCGACATTCCAGTGGTTTATGCGACGGAAGGCCGTGTCGGAGACGACAGCGTTGAGAGAAGAAGGGGAGAAGGGAGCGAGGCCTTAGAGGGGACGTTGCATTGAAGACAGATAGATTTACTAACATCCTGAAACTTCGTTTTCGATGTTATAGTGGACCGTGCGCATCTGGTTTCTTTGAAATCTCCATACCGTTTTGTCTGCAGGGTTATTGGCTCAGGTACAGAACTTTAATGCGAAATTACTACAATGAATCGGAAACAGAAATAATGTATTTGTGCATATAATAAGCGACAGCGAGATCTGCAATACTTTGTAGTATGGCCATTAACAGAAGGATAATCATACAACGGGAACAGAAGAACATTGAGTTGAGATAACGTCGATCTAGACCTATGCCGCCGTCTAAGATTCCACTTTCCTCTTACTGATACTCCTCTCCTGCGTTTAGCTGCGATTAAGCCTGACGCGCACGCTTGTTCGGACCATCACCACCCACTGCCGAAAAGTACTCCTTAGATCCCTTTGGATCAGCCTTCATCGTCTTGTCGCCTTCATGCCAGTTAGCAGGGCAAACTTCTCCGTATTTGTCCTAAACAAAGATGTGATAAGATGACGATGGTAAAGTGTTTTTTTGGATAACGCACGGTGAATTGGAAAGCTTTGATGAGACGAATGGTCTCGTCGACGGAACGCCCGACAGGGAGATCATTGACAGTGATTTGCCTAGAGACGAGACGTCAATAAAACGGGGTACGAGAAATAATATGTAGGGGTGGCGAAATACCTGAGGATACCCTTGGGGTCGATGATAAAGAGGCCGCGGAGAGCGATGCCTTCCTCCTCGAGAAGGACGCCGTAATCGCGCGAGATGGACATATTTCGGTCGGCGATGAGGGTCAGTTTGAGGTCGGGACCGAGCCCGCCCTCCTTGCGGGGCTGGTTGGCCCAGGCAAAGTGAGAGTGCTGTGAGTCGGTGGACACGCCTGGATGTCAATAACGAAATGAAGTGGGAATTTTCTCCATGTGACAAAGACAAACGCACCGAGAACCTTGGTGTCGAGGGCCGTGAACTCGTCTAGGGCGTCGTTGAAGGCCAGGATTTCGGTAGGGCAGACAAATGTGAAGTCCCTGACTGTCGTTCAGACTCGAGATAAGAGAGACGGATATGTGCGTACATAGGGTAGAAGAAGAGGACGACCCTAAGATCGATTCGTTATCGCTTCCGGGGAAAGAATTGAAAGGGCTCGTACCATTGACCGATGTAATCTGTCAAAGAGACATCCTCGAAAAGACCATCGACGACGGCGGCAGCTTTGAAAGTGGGAGCGGGACGTTGGACGAAGGCAACCATGGGCGAACGGGCGGTGGTGGATGATGGGTGGAAAGAGGAAGGAATGGCTTTTTGACGTATTGGTCGCGCTATTTGGCGACAGGAATATTGAGTCTAATACTATCCAAATGAGGCGATGTGACGGGTAAAAAGGTTGCGGAAAATTCGTTTTGGCTCCGCTGAAACTAAGATCGCCTGAAGGATGTTATGACAAAGAAGAGTGACTAAGGACCCGTGATCAGACGTGACCGCGTCTTAGTGATATTGCCCGTGACTCACTGACCGACGCGTCGTTCAAGCTTTTACGACAATGGGCGCCACATTTTCTCTGTCTTATCTTTATCGGAGACTTCCACGGCGGCCGTGATGGATCGATCCCTCTGCAGCTCCATCATGATACAGATCTTGGCCATTAACACGAATGTCGGATGTTGTATGTACGCCTCAAGCTGATGTCTTTCACAGCAGAAATATCGGATTCTTCCTTGTCTCTAAACGCGTCTCGATTCTGGAATGCTGCCAACGAAGAGCGTGACCCCATTTGATATCATTAGTAATGATCAACCAACGGAACACGGGCACCATTCCGAAATCTTGGCAGCCGGTCGCTCGCACTCTGAGAATTCTATGTCCGGCGCTTGTCCTTCTCTTTGCTGATCGTCTTATCTCTCTATATCAATTACCATCGCTCGTACCGAGGCCCTATGATGTCATAGTATTTCATTCGAATTCCCTTTGTTGTCACTTCTCGGTACTCCATCTGTAATTTGAGCTTTCAAAATTACATGTTAACAGTTAGCGTTTTAGATATCATCTAGGGACGCACCTTCCGATCCGCTCGTTGATTCCACCGCTAGTCTGGACGTTCAGAGAAGGATTGACCACTGCATCAAGAACTGTGGTCCGAGGAGGAAGCCATGGAGGACTCATCCAAAGAGAGGACGTCGAAGGTTGAGGAAAAGATTGTGGGTTGTGCGTAGTCCGGAATAAATGAAGGTGAAAAGGACGAGACCGATGTTTCGTCGGACCTGAAACGAAAGCCTCGACGAAAGGACGACAGAACCATTGGATTATTTCCGTGAGCTGAGCAAGAGAAGAAAACAGGAAATGCCTTACCTGGTAGAATCTTGGGTGAAAATAAGGGTAATACGCTCTGGGGACCTGCCGGAATTGTCCGTACTGGTGGATAAAAACTTGTCAATCCGAACAAAGAGCGGACACCTGTCACCAGCAGGGTCTCTTTTGTTTTGCCATCTCCTCCTATGCCACCCCCCATCAGAGTTCGTATCGACCTCAAATGCGAGGTGAACGGTGAAAGAGCAAGGACACAATCAATGGTTACGAGGAATCTATCATGGAATCAATAAGAAGTTGAACAGGATTACAATGAGAACGAGCAACCCACAAGACCTTCCATGAACCTGCTAAAGAGTGAATGAGCTGATGTTCTAGAAGCAAAGGAACACAAACCTTGGTGTCATGCTCCCATAAATTAATGTAAGTCTCTGTTCGCCATCGTCAAATACGTCGGGGACATATCGCAATGTCGAAGAAGAGGGAATGGGGAATGGCTAGCGGTAGTTTCGGTTCTAGCTACAGGTATTACGCTGTCGTGATGATCACTGAGGATCCGGACCGCGCACTACACTCCTAGCGTAGAAATAAGGCCCCAGAAATATGATCAATGCACCAGCTTTGGTCTCCTACCGCGGCAGCTGCGACGGCGAAGGAAAGTCGCTTACGGTTGGTGGCTAGCGTGAATATTTTCGCTGGAGATCTGAAGCCCAAGGTATCCGAAGGGAAGCTCTGGTGGAATACGAAGACGATGATGTCAGCAGTCTTTGTGTTCTTCTCCACAGAATATTTCTGTGAAAATTGCGCACCCACAAATATGCGAAGTAATTGCATTCCATAGAACGGGGTTACAATCTGTTCTCCCATAGATTTTTCGATAACGGTTTGCCATCGAGGATCCGTCATCGGTGCCAGTTCAAGTGCTTCCTCGCCGCTGCCACACCATGCGACCCGGAGATCATTCATCATGTCAATAACTGCATGGAATGGATAATCTTCGCAAATGTCTCTATAGCGAATATTTACTTTGAGAGAGTTCCGAAAATATTCTCTGAGGTACCAGCCCCTCATTGGGGAAGACTCTGAGATGGGGCGGAAAAAGGTTTTGAGCGGGCCCGATATCGCGAAAGATTTAAACGCGATGATCATCCTGAGGTCTTTGTAATCAGTTCTGAAGCTGAGGGTACACTGGAAGTATGCTTATGTCGACGTCAACGCTGAAAGCATTGTCGAGGGAAAAAGGGATGAGGTCCTTGTGCAGGAATGCGGCATTAGAAGCGGTTTCGAAGAACTCTAATATAGGCTCGTAATTTTCCTTCAGCGGCGGATAAAGAGACTGGTAGTAAGGCACACATCACATCAGTGCAAACATCGAAATATAAACTTTGGCCGTACCAAGCCAGTGTAGGAGGCGGAAACATCCATACTAAATCAATGCAGTTCCAGTAACGAAGCATCGGTGCCTGTCTTTTTGATGAACTGCGTACGCCACTGACGGTATCACGGCAAACTACAGGAAGAGGCTGGCTCGGAGGATCAGAAAATATAAAGGAACATACTATTGTCCCCTGATCAGGAAGTTCTGTCCAAATCGATTCCATGGCTGCAAAAGAAGTAGGATTGGGCATAGTCGTAATCGTGGGGAAAAAAGTTGCTTCGACGTTATCTGTAGAGTGTTAGTATAATGCAACGATGTTGCCAGCAGGGCCTAACCTGAGTCATACCAGCCGCAATTTCCTGTCGGGAGCGGTTCTGTCGAGTTCGCGGGGATGGGGGGACCGTTGGGCTTTATACCATTAGGGGACGGAGATGGAAGGGTTTGCTATGGGGCTTTAGGAGTTGCAAAGTCGTGCTGTTGACTGGTGTTAGACGCTGGTTTAACCCTGAAAACAAGTTGCGTTCGTCGGCGCGTGACTCGTAACGGTTCAAGTGATCCGATACTCACCAACAAGGAGCTGAGCTGGTAAAGTGCGTTGAGAAAATAAAGGTATCGCGCTGGTACTCTTTTGATTTCGTAGACAGAATATGTTCTGAGACCGCGGTCAAGCTACTACTACAGGGACCTAGAGATGTGGCTTTTTCTGGAAAAGTGGACGCAACACGTGGTAAACCTAGAACGGCAACCATCACAGTGTGACAGCGTAACTCAAATAAACGATTTCCCATGGGGGCTCCCGAGAATAAGGTGGGGTCAAAGCCCACAGCGCATAGACCCGTCGGCCTGGAGACTATTGTCTTCCTGCCTCTGGATAATCGTCACTACTAGGGCGGGTATGTTTTTAAGGTTGAAAAAATAGTCCTAAAAAACAAAGATTGGATAGGTGCAATGTGATAACTCATATGCCGTACTTTCCATACCACCAATCCTCCAAGAAATCTTCCCTCAGCGAATGCATCTCTCTCTCCCTGGTCTGCTGATCGTAGAACTCGTGATCTGGGTCCCAAAGTTCCGATCCCTCAAAATCAATCATCACACTCTCCACATTACTGGCGTCGACTGAAAACCGCACGGGACAGTCTTCCTTGGCGCAAAACGCGTCTCCACGATGTCTCGGAGGCCGTATGATGACGTTCCTCGGTGCCATGTCGCGCTGCTTCACACCACACATGAGTATGTCGAAAAAGACGTTCACTGCTGAATCCACGATCGCAGAACGGTGGGCCGAACAGAGGTTTTCGACTTTGTCTGGATCGGAATCTGATGTTGGAGGAGGGACGAGGTAGCGGACGTCCTGGCCTGCAACGTGTTCGAGTAAGAGGACGTATACCGTGCGATTGCCCTGTGTGGGTAGGGGTGAGACGAATAGCCCGAGAAACCGCGGGACGCGCGTGCCCTGGAGAGGCTCGAGCCTGTGGTATGCTTCGACTTCGCGGGATACGGAGAGATCGACGAATGGGAATGGGTCTGTGCCTTCGTAGGGATCTATGAAGTAGAGAGGGTCGAATATTTTCGCGATAACCGTCTCTCCAGCCCTGGTAGCAGTCCATACGTGAGTAACGCGTCCCTCGCGGAAACCGCCACAGAGCTTTTCGCGCAAGACTATTGGTGATGAGGGGTGTGCATATGTGGGGAGAGATATACGGTGGGTCATGGAGGCCGCATAGAGGCCGGCGGTTTTCTCGAGGCGGAGGGAGTCTTCGGTGTACATGCATTGGTCGTGATGGGGGCTTCGTGGAGGGGAGCAGGTATGCAGCTCGAAGTGAGCATTGGGGTGATATAGAGTATCTGGATCGCTGAGTTCGTCAGGCAGAGGTATGACGGGGAGGTGATATAGCTGGTGCATCCGCTCGAGCGAGGTTGGATCTGAAACCATCTAGAAAAGGAGCGACGTGAATCGGAGAGGGAGAGATGAGAGAGAGACTTGTACTGAGGTATTTAACTGTGAGTGTAGTCTCCCGGCAGCGACAGACAATAAATCCGCATGATGTTGTGTTGGCCCTGACAGTGAAGTCCTTGGCGGAAACATGCCATGCGGGCCGAGGGGCCGAGGAATGTAAACAGGAGAATGTCCGAATCCGATACTTTCGGTAGCCTTTGCAACGCAACGAAATGAATGTTCGTCTGTTTGGAGAATTTGTGCTGTCAATCGTTGCTTCAAAAAGACCCAGAATGACGGTCGACCGCCGTATCTCGTTTAGCCACGTTTCAGGGAAATAAAGGAATCCACGGGACGTTCAGCGGCTGGAATGACATTGCGTTGAGAAAATTGTGTGGCGGAGATGATCAGAAGGAGAAAGAGTGGAGGTCAATACCGCGGCACCTCCGCGGCAGAGAAATCGATGGCTATACGTGTGAATCTGATACTATTTTGAGGAACAAAATCATTGTCTTCATTGTTTCCACGAGCTTGTGTATCGTATGCCGCCTTTTTCCCCTTCTGTCATCATGACCGTAATGATTTTCTCTTTCTTTTCCCTTTCCTGGATCCCAGATCTGTGCTCATGCTGGTTGATGGCCGCGGGTTTGTTTCATTTCTCACCTGTTCAGTTTCAGAGGCTCATGTATTTCATGGTGGCAGATAATGTTCTGACAATACAACGAATGGATCCTATTCAATACCCAGGGATGGTGGGATCTCATGTTCATTCTGGTCTGACCCTACCTCCTTCAATCTGCTTTCTTTTTCTGAAGGCAAGCAGTACTAGGAGAAAGTTGCTTTAGCTTAAACATGTCAACAGCCAATTTGCAAGATAGTAAATGTACATTGTTACCCATTCAGGAAGATAAGAGTGATTATTGGTATCTAGTATGTCTTTTTCACATGGTGCTTTGGGATTTCTTCTAATCCAAACATTGAAATCATCTTTTCTGGTAGTAAGTGTGCTTCATGCTTCTCCAGCCTGGACACTGAATGACATATCTTTGCCTGCAGGAAAAATGATGGATCATTTGTTACTGTGAATGAGAGTGCTGTGATATGCATACCCATTGACTATGCTATATCTTCCTATTAACCCTACTTTAAGATATACTTGGACTTGTCTCATGAATGTTCACCCACTGACATATCATGCAGACTACCTCTTCAGTGACAATTTCTCTTTAACAATCCCATTTCCTGATGACGTGAGTCTGCTATTCATCTCCATTCTCACACTGTGAATTCTGACATGGCTATGCAGTTTAAGATGATCTCTGGTCTGTATCTCATCTGTCTCTCATCTGCATTTGCTGATAACACCTTACAGGAGATCCTAACCTTTGCACTCTCAATGCATCCGGCTTCACATAGAAACTATTACCTTTTGGTTCAACTTTGATAGTGTATCAACCAAGTACAATGAGCTTCCCATCAATCAGGACTGCACATCTGGTATATGATCACAAATTGTATGTTTATGGTTAGACAAATTCAATAGCATCTGCTAATTTCATTTGAGGCAGAACTTTCCAAGCTGTTTGGATGGAAAGATACAGAAGGTCACTCAGGTGTAAACCAAACTGATATCTTACAGAATGTACACTCTAAAGATCACAAATCTCATGTTGCCTTTCTTTCAATGGGGGCCAGACAATGAGACATGTAATGACCCAAAGTATCCTGTCACTCTTCCACAGATATTCATGGAGGTAAATGTGCCCACATCATTGTAGTAATTACAGCCCATTGACTGTTACAGGTATACTGAGTCACTCAAGAGTTCCAGGATCAACAGAGTGACACTATGACACCTTGACAGCCTTTTGTGTGAGGATACCCATGCCATCTTTCTGTTCTCAGTCTTTTTATCTGCTTGCAGATTCTCCAATGGCAATCCAACTGGCTATGATTACCATACTGACATTTTTAATAGCTGGGAGTCTGGAGTCCTGCAAAAAGCCATCAATTAGTGCCACTGCAACCCATATGGTGACCCTTCCTGCTGTGTTGCTGCAGGAACCTTTACCATTGATCAAGATGTGCAGTGTTATATTTCGAATACTGTTGATGAGATCAGTATGTCCTGTCCCTCGCTCCCTTTTTTTCCCTATCAACCTGAGCATGCTTGTTAGCTACGGGAAACCTTACTACTCTTCTTGGGGCTAATCCTGTTCAAGCGCCATGTTATGAGGAATACATTGCGACGTATACACCGGTGATCATGGAGCCCGTGTATGTATCGACTGAAGATGAGGTTCTGCCGAATGGTACGACCGAAGTGGCTGTACCGGCCACGACGACTGTGGTGCATCAGAAGGCTGCGGGGACTTGCCTTTGGACTGGCGGTGAACGAGAAGGAAGAGTTCCTATGGTCGTGGTGGTGCTCAGTGTTATAGGTGCGCTGTGTGGCGTACTCTGATTTCAGTGTATCATTAGGCCGTAATCGAACGTTGGGTTCCTTTTTTTTTCGAATCGACGGCTGCTAAGACCCATCATTATACGCTGAGGCAAAAGCAGTGTCTGCTTCCATTAGGGCCTTGATAGACCGATAGGACAATTTTATTAAGGCGTTCGCAATCTGACTTATGATCCCGTCAGCATGTCGAACCTACTATGCATCAGAAGTGCCCGTCCCGCCCTTGTGTCATGGGAAATGTGGGGGTCACCTCGCATTTCATTTATGGCAAGGAAAACGTCAACTTTTTGTTTTCTTTTTCAGCTTCGTATGGACTCTAATGGGAATCTCATTGTGAACACCATCTGCTCCGTTCTTGCCACCGACTGATGCAGCGATCCAAGGAAGGTCACCATAGTACAACCATGGCAGCGGCGCTGATTGGTGTAGCAGGCTCATGCGTTTCAAGCCCAAGAATGCCGGGTGGTTCAACCGGAATAGGTTCTTCCTGTCGGCGGGTCACGCTTGCTTGTGACAATACATCCATATTCAGTGGGGACGACGCGCTGAAGAAATATCATAACCCTGATTCGGGATCGCCGCTGGTCATCGAGTTCCCTGTTATTGAGCCGAAGATAGATAGGGTTGCTTGGGCACGGTATATGTGGTGAGGTTGGCTGTTGCGTCGAAGGACCTGGCGAAGACGGTTAATAAGCCTGGCTTGCCGGTCGTTGGCGCGTATTGGCCAGTCAGTTCTCCGGTCTGTGTTCTGATGTTTTTTTGTAGACAATGGCGTCTATTGCTTTATGGGCGACGATTGCCTGCGAGAAGGAGTCGGATAAGAGGCTCTCTCTTTCTTGCTGCTCATTTTGATCCATGGTAATCTGTGACGACTGTTCGGTGGCGGACGATGCATCGTCTGACCTTTGCTTCACTCATGCTACATCCGTGAAGATCCAGAGTAAACGGGTTTCACGTTCTCGAGGTGATGGATGGGAATAACAATACAAGTACTAATTCCAATTTCTATCAACAGACTCTTCTCTTGCCCCACTTCGATGACCATGTTAGCCTATTCCTCCTTGTCCGCGGAAAAGAAACGAAGTGGGTTTCCATGCTATCCACCACTACAGGTTAATCTACCATGCTTAATTTGTTGATTAGTATCGCAGTAGAACCGTATTGCTAGGTCCGAGAGGGAATGGGTATTCGCGACTGATAGTTGCAGTTGTAGCTACAAATAAGCGGAGAAGTACGATAAACCTGCCCTAATGTATGTGGTCACGGACCGGGCCAACGTTCCCAGCAGCTCATGGTACCATCTCTGGATTCGAGACTACTAAAATTATCAGAGACAAACGAACGTTCATTCATATTTGCACGGCCATCGGGTACTGCTCGCGGCAAAGCCAAGACCGGCTCCGCTCATGGCGCGGTGCTCGGAGATACAAAGCAGCCTACGGACAACGGCAGTTCAGGGATTGCCGTGAACAAAATTTTTGTCGCTCAGCGGGTTTATGGCACGCATTTCGATTACCTCTCTATGTCCCCCGATTCCTCCAGACTATTTCGCTCCCCTCACCGAGATTGGCGCCCTGTACGAGTCATGCTGGAAGGAGCTGTTCCATAAGTACCATCCCGGAGAATAGCACACGGCATACGCCGAGCTCAACTCGCCTTTGTACGCAGAGGAGCCTAACTTTTTGATGCTTCCATCAAAAATTGAACTTCCGAAAGCCGTGCGGAAGTCGCCTCATATCGTCGTCAGTGTCTTCGCTCCCTGGAAAGACCCTGATGCTCGGCTCCTTAGATCTGATGGAGAGAACTTTTGTTCACTGGCAAAATAAATATGATGAGAAAAGGTCGGAGGGATGGTCGAGTTCCGACATGTATGCCTTTTCCTTCTCACTCTTACTAGTGTATTCTCATCTCTATATAGCCTTTGACCACGTAATACCTGACTTTTTGAATACTTGCTACGAATCTCTACACATCCACATCCTATCGTGGCATCAATAACCAGTATCGGAACTTGCCATTCTAAATTCAAATTCATCATTTTGCCTTTCAACCACCATCGTATCCATCGGTGACTCAGAAACCCCTCTACTGATTCCCGTTACCAGATGGCGTCACTCCCTCAAGAACTCATCGAAGCCATAGTTGACGAAATCCAACACGACGGAACCGCGATGTCGCGGGAACGCTGCAGGACGCTTTTGTTCTGCAGTCTGGTTAACAAGGCGTTCGTTCCGAGGGCGAGGAAGTATCTGTTCCGGAACGTTGTTCTGACGACGTGGAAGCGGTGCTGCGAGTTTCATGAAATCTGCCAGTCGTCCCCCGTTGATATCCCCTCCTTGGTTGAGTCTCTGTGTATCGATAATAAGAGATTGGACAGCGTGGATTTCGAAGACACGTTCCCCAGCCTCGTTTCGTCTTTTGTCAATATGAAGAACATTCATTTACGCTGCCTTGAGTAGGACGATGTCAAGGATACTGCCCAGCGGGCGTTGAGCTCTCACGCGTACCAGTCCATCAGCTCCGACGTTTGCCATTTCCGAGACTCGGCATTGTTGTGCTCATTCATCTCCGGGTCTACGGATACTCTTCTACAGCTCTCTTTTGCGAGATGTAAGATGGGCACGCGGAGCTATGGATCGTTTGTTGGGGCGAGGCCTGCCATCGAGCATTTGATTGTATTTGAGGAGAGAGAAGAGATGTTTGATATGGGTTTGTTGATGTCGGAGGCGTTCTCTCCTATCGCACTAGATTCTCTGCGTGTTGCGGAGGTCTGCATCGATATGTTGGAGCGTCTGCATTGTGTACAGACGATGTTGGATAGCCCAACGATTCCGCTTCAGGAACTCGAGGTTTTTCACCCGCCACGCAGTATTTCTAGTATGTGGTATTATTTCACTATCCTTCTATGAGAATTGCTGATGACCTCCTTTTAGGCCTCTTCAGCACACATTGGCTGAACGAGCCCCTCCGACTCGGTAATCTACGTTCGATCACCATCGTGCTCGACGATCATTTCCGGGACCGCCAGGCCGATTTTTTCGTTATCATATGGTGGATCAACAACTTCCGGTTGAGCGGACTCCCTGGTTGCGTGCTCGAGCGAGTTACGCTTCGCGTTGGGCGCATTTCAATGTTGAGCCAGTGGAAAGAATTAGACGGGGCTCTGAAACGGGTCAAGTCGCTGAAGTTGTTAGAGGTCGAGATCGTGTCGTTGTACGATCAGGATGTGGGTCCGTTTAATGAGATTGAGGTCCCACTTGTGGAATTGATAAAGGGGGGCGTGGTTGAGGTTCGGATATGTGAGCCTGGTGAGTTGGTTTTTACCGCATGGTGATAGTGCTGTGTTGTGCTGATGGATATCAATACTATAGGCTTCTGAGCGGAAGTTGTTGGCGGGGTACATGGTATCCTAGACCCGTTCTTGTTTTCTCAATGATACAAAGGATAAAATCGGCTTCCGTCACAGCAGACGTTGCGCGCCTCTTATTGACACAGAAAATTGGGAGTCTGATTTCGATAGTATGAAGAAGACACGAAGCCCCCGGCGCGTCGGGGGATTCAGATGTATAGGAAAAGTACGAGAATGCTGTTCTCCTGAGGTGCCTTTCGAAACCCACGATACTTTTGGTTTCGCTTTTGACCAATACGGTTCCGTGATGAAACGGAGCTGAATTCCGTATGGGGGTGGGTCCGAGCTCGTCGATGGATGGCATGTAATTAAATAGAGATGCGAAGAGAAATTCCAGATCACGCGTTTTCTCAACGAGTTTCCCTACTGCATAAAGGCAAGGATTATACAGAGCACTGGACCTTGCGTTGATGGTATAGTATGATACATGAATGAATAAGTTATCAAACCAGAATGGCCCTGGGTTGAATTGGGTCGGTATATTCCGTCCGGCCATCACCGAATACAAATTCCGTACAAAAAAAGTTCTCGACCTCTCTGCTTCCTCCCACTCTCCTCACGGCGTGCATGCGTAATTCGTTGTCGTCCTGCTTATTTCCTCATGCCCTCGGGCGCCTCTTTTCCCCTGATTTCATTTTGCTTGATATTCTTTTACAAGAATCCCTCTGGCGATACATACTCCCTTGAAATTCGTCAGTGGTACCTCAAAGTTGCGTCGAGGACAGCAACTGAAGTGGGAAAGATTATGAATTAAGCATGGCTACAGGGTGCGTTAACGAAGCTGATCTTTCGAGGGTACGACGAACCTTACGGCCGCCTAGAGACTTCTCATGATTCCGGCGCTTTTATTCCACTGACAACCCTGATTCATTTGTTTGTGACAAATGACGGCACGACATGGCTCGACAATAACCGAACACCTTGTCCTCAACCCCCGACTCGTCGTCTTCACCGCGCACACGAGCTCCTGCGTTTACCTTGGCCTGGGAAGGCAGGAATGGTTGTTCTCAGTCTCTGGTACGTTACAATTGCTGTCTCTGTGAGCGGGATTACTCACGTGTTCGAAGGTTCACGTTTCTCCTTTTCTTCCTGGCACCATCTTTTGCCCTCAATATCACGGTTCCCAGCATCGTGCATGCAGGCGAACCGACTACTCTGTACCTCGTTCATTCTAATGACGATCCGTCCGAGTTCTTTTTGAAGAAATTTTACGAACAAAATGGCCAGTCGCTTTTGTCGAGCGAAGCGGTGTGGGTGAACAACTTTACGAGAAATGTGAATGCCTCGCTCGAGTTTAATGACAATGGGTAAGCTAGGTGTTCTTATGTTGGTTTATTGCTAATTCTTCGGTAGGATGTTTACGATACATGCCTATGCAACATCAGAGTACGAATTCCGGTTCTTCTTTGATCAATCACTGAAAATCGTCTAGTCCTTCCGTCGATGACACTCCCCTTGCGCAGAGTGAACAATTCGAAGTGGAGCGAGTGGATGCGATCGCACGAATAACTAGTACCCCCTCGCCGCCGTCGTCGTTCGTTAACTCGCTTCCTTTCTTGTCTGTAATATATCCACTGATCGCTCTTCAGAACTTCTGAAGCTGCAGAATACACCGCCACCGCCATAGCGACTTCTTCTGGCGGATGCGACATCCCGGTCGGTGCCATCATCGGAGTCACCATAGTATCCGTCATTTTCCTGATCAGCAGCGCCCTTCTCGTGTACCTACTCATCAGAGGCAGGAAAGAACGTGCTGCAAAGAACTCTGACGCAGAATCCAGCCCACCGGAAAAGGGTGACCATGACGTAAGGCCAGAACGCGTCGCGCGGCCGACTTTGGCGCCGCATCCTCGGTCTGTTCGGAATTCGTTGATTTCGTTGGAGGCGAGACAGGCTGCTATGAGGGATCTGAGGGAGCAGATTGGGTCATTACGGAGGAGCCTTGCTGGGGCTTTCAAGTCTGCGGAGCATGGGGAGAGGCATGGTGAGAAGACTGATTCACTCGGGAGCCAGACTCGGTTATGGGTGGATCATGGGACGCCGCCACCAGAGTATTTGTCCCATCGGTCTTCCGTCGGGGTAATGGGAGGGTAATTTATTGATATTCGTGTTTTTCTTATCTTTTTTAGCTCTTTGCTTTTGGATGGATGGCACATACGTCAGTACGAGATTGTATACCAGCCATGTCGTGTACAGGAGACGCGTTTTTCGATGTCTGATTTGTATTTTGGAATTATGAGAGCCATATGCTACCATTTGAGAACGAGGACGAAAACTAGGGGGTTTCACTCTATACCTGAAAGATCCTGTGGGGAGTTGAACCCGACGATCAGTGCAAATGTCTTAACCGGTACCATTATGCCATGCAGGATCAGGAAACAGGATTTTCATTGGGTTTTCACCGATGTAACATGAAAGGAGTCTTTCGAGTCCGACGAAGGAAGGGAGGGCAAAGAGGAAAGACATTGGCCAAATTTTGTGACAGAGATGCTACCTATGTATACCAAGACTCGCACGCCGCTCCCCTCGTTCTCGGAGATGCCCCATGCTTAATTCTTAATTCACCGTGTAATATATGGTTATCAAGAGCACCATCGTCCAATAAATAATCAACTGTGCTACCATGCCTCGTGCTCCTGCTAATGACATCCAAATACCATTTGACCTACCATACCCTTTGTGTAAAACCTCCGCTAGAAAGAAGACGGTCCAGATTTATATGATATTAAGGGTACGATGCTAAATTGTTCCGTAGGTGCTTGGGATATTCTCGCATTGTATTTTGGACCGAGAACCATGTAAGCGTGGGTAATCTGTTTCAAAGCAAGCAGGTGGATACTACGTCCGAAAAGGACTGTCTTCCAAGTAGGAAAATGAAGATATACAAGGTGGACGACGAAAGAATGAGTATAAGCATTCGGTGCGATTTCTCTGTGGTGCTCGTAGACGTAGAGCGAGTCAGTGAAGAGCGCGGGGCCTTGAAATGAGATGAGAATCACGACTGAAGTCACGATGGGGGGAAATCCATGGGCCTGTTAGGGAAAATCTCTGCAGGACTCCGTTTTGAAGTTGAAGACTAATCTGTTTGCGTACCGAGGATGTTGTCGGACTGTAAACGGAGAAGGGAAGCTATTTAGTTTCTGAATGATCCTGATGATCATTTCAAGAACTCATTTACTAGACCGGTATCAGTATGATACGATTGGTCAGAGTTCAATCGGAGTTTGTTCAGATTCATATCTAACGTTCACCTCGAACTGCGCTCAGTATATTCATGATATGTCGCCTTAGACGGTACGATGATGCCAATTGGTTTCAGCTAGTGAAATGTTCTCCTGAAACTGAGGGGTTCGCCAGATGGCTGGCGTTGCACTGCTCGGTTGAGTGAAAGTTCGAACGTATCAATTCGCTACGCGCTGTGGGACCGGAAGCGCCGATCTATAAATACAGCGTCGCTTGTGCAATTTGCCACAAATTTGCCAACACTGTTTAGTTCACGAATCTCATGGAGTCCTACTCAGTGATCTTCTACTATCGAGCGCGTGATACTCTTCTACATGTCACAGTGTGGCACACAAGCTAACCGGCCACGGTCTCCACGCATATACGAACACTGGTCCTGAAAAAAATCCCAGACTCCAGAATCTTTTACCTAATTCTACCACTTTTCAATACAGGCTTGGTGCACGTTATAGCCGTAATCTAAATACATTCATGCGCACGGTTCACATTCAGCCATCGTGACCGTATTCGTGTGAATTTTCCAATGCCAAGTCCTTGATTGTTCTAAGCAACCATGCTATCTTTGCGCGATCTATGCATCCTACCACGATGACCTGGTTGCTCTTATTGATTTCTTGCGTCCTTACAGCTGGATTGCTTCTTTCTCGCCGTTTTCAGTCGAGGTCGCTGCCACCAGGCCCTCCTGGACATTGGCTATTCGGGAATGATCTTCCCAGGAAACGGTGCGTCGGTTGTGACGGTTTATATTTGCTATCGCCCGCTTATATTCTCTTAGCGCTTTCTTGAAATACGAGGAATGGACGAGGGAGTACGGGCCTGTCTTCTCGCTCAAGAGGTTTGGAAAGGTGTATATTGTGGTTGGTCGATACGATGTGAGTTTGTCTTCTTTTGTGCTTCGGTTGTTGGACTGATGTTTTCTAGGCTGCTGTGGAGATCATGGAGAAATGCGGGATGCAGACTTCGGACAGACCACGGGCTATTGCTGCCTCTGAAACGTTTTCTGGGGGTCTTAGGCCTATTCTGCTGAGCGATACGCCGAGGTGGAGGGCTTTGAATAGGTTGGTATCGGCGGCGGCGGATGATCGCCTGAAGCTGACGTATGACTTACAGGGCATTGCACTCGCATCTGAAGACGAACAAAGCTATGGCTTACGAGCCCATCCAGTTCTATCATGCGAAGAAATTGATTCTTAATGTTCTTGACGACCCGGAAAGGTTTACGCCGCACACCAAGATGTACGTGCCTTGTTATATGGTCCGATTGCATTGGGCTTAGCGTTCCCCAATAGATATGCAGCGTCTGTGATTCTTACCCTGACGTATGGGAAGACGACGCCTACGACTTTCGATGATCCTGATCTCCAGCAAATGCTTCGAGATGCGGAAAGGTTTCGCAGGGCCATTCTCCCGGGGGCGTACCTCGTGGATACGTTTCCTGTTCTGAGATGGGTTCCTGGGTACCTTGCAGAGCTGAAGAGGTGGCATCGAGATTCGCAGGCGTTGTGTCGTCGATGTTTAGGGGGTGTTCAGGAGAGAATGGTAGGGGTGCTGATTGGTTCGTTTCATTGAAAGATATTGATGTTAGCTTTTTAGGCCAGTGGGGCAGAAGTTCTGGGCTGTTTCGCGAAGGATCTCTTGGATAAAAAGAAGTTGTCATTTGACCAGGCGGCGTTTCTTGCTGGTTCGATGTTTGCTGCTGGATCTAATACGGTTCGGGTTTCATTGCTTCTGGTTTTCTTTACGGTACTACTGACTGCCATACCAATCTTTAGACTGCGTCTGCGATGGTGTTTGTTATCATGGCCGCTGCCTGTTTTCCTGATGCGGCAAAGGTTGTACAAAAAGAAATCGATGAATTGGTTGGTCAGGACCGATGTCAGTAATTTCGGCGCTTCGATGTGATCTTTGTTAATTGAGATGTTGAACAGGCCCGACATTTGAAGATCGAGAGCGACTCCCGCAAGTGATGGCATTCGTTTCTGAGTGTTTTAGGTGGTCAGTTGTGTTTGCGTCTGGAAAGTTTGGAAGTAGGGACTGACGAAGGCCTTGGCAAGGCGACCGTTGTTCCCAAGCGGTACGTAGCCACTACTCTGTCTGTCAATGACGGGCTGATCGTTTGTTAGGCATCGCTCATGCCGCGTCGGAAGATATTGTGTGGGTTAGTGCTGATTCTTGGTCCTATTGTGTCCATTTTCTGGAATTGTTTTCAAAATAGCACGACTATATGATTCCTAAAGGGGCTACAATTATTGCCTCGCCTTGGTATGTCCGCGATTCTGGAAGGTAGAATGTCCCATGCTAATAAACAGCACCAGGTCCATCTTCCATTCCACTGATGTTTTTCCTAATCCCGAAGATTTTGATCCTCAGAGATGGATCGTTGATGGGAAGGTGAGAGAGGACATCAGGCAATTCGTTTATGGATTCGGTCGGAGGTGAGGTTTCGTTTCCTGAGTGCGCCTATCTCTCATGGTGCTTGACTGTAGAGTTTGTCCTGGATCGCGCGTTGCGAATAGGTGAGCTTTCTCCGTGACATGTCTCTTTTCTTGGAATGTTCATTTCTTTTGTAAGGTCGCTATTCATTAATGCGGCGCTTCTTTTGTGGGCTTTTGACATTCTTCCTACTGAAAGGATTGATACTATGGCTTTTGCTGATGAGCCGGGTATGCATCCGGGAAGTTTTGGAGTGCGTTTTGACTTGCGGGTGGGGAGGGAGAGAGAGGACTGGGTCCGGTCGTTGATGGCCAAATGAGCGCTAGAGTTCGGGGATGTGAGATTTCAATTGTATTCGGGCGTCTCTGGTTTACTGACATCGAGAATTAGAACCGTTTGAATAATGAAAAAGAGTAGTGTGTAAATGAAAAAAAAAGAGCTCAATAGCAATTTTCGCTGTAAGAAGAGGAGGGCGGAGATAAGACGTGTATTGTTTGTACATTATGGAGTAAAAAGTCCGACTGGGTCATCAGGATTCTCCCTTGTCTACACCCCTCACGTCCAATGAGCTGAACTTCACAAAATATCCAGGAAGGTTCGTTGTCCATCGAGAGACCAGATTATCCTATTATCCCAGTAATCTCTCCGAGTATGGGACAGCGTTGATGATGATTATATCTATGCTGACGTTGGTCCGAGAGTTTTCGACTAGAGATTGCCATAGCCAATCTGAAGAGGGCGTTCAACTACGGAATAGAAAGGTTCGGGAAGGCGAAAGGTAAGGATGATTTGGAGACGCCGGAGGGACGGATTTCTGGGGACGGTGTTGAGCTCTTCGATGAGGGCTTTGGTCCAGATGGATATGAAGGGAACACGGAGATCGTCCAGCCAGGTAAAGTCCGTATCTGCCGAGTGGATCAGTTGAGATATGAGGCCACTGACAGATGAATGTTGAATACTCACATTGAAGGTACAGAATAGAGGCAGAGTTTCTGCAAGGACACGGGCGGTAGGGGCCAGACGATGATGCGGACATTGTCAAATTCGAAGCCCCGAAGGCATGGGTGGTTGATGTGGGAGAATACAGTGACAACCGAAATGGTTGGAATGGAAAATGCAGTGATTCAATATACCGGTGCGAAGGTTCAGGGTGTGGATGAAAGGCCTGTAGATCGGAGAGGTGTTTTTTGGGCGGTGACGAGATACAGAGATCTTCTAGAGAGACGTATTGGAGTTTGGGAGGGTGGCAGCGCACGAAATTTAAAACGTCGCTGTAGCGGTAATGCATTTTGATGGTGCAGGTGGATGTGGGGAGCTTCCCATGCGAAATGTTGTTATAGGTTACGTTGAGAGGATGTGTGCGTTGGCGTCGAATTGGTGGAGGTCTTCGAGCCTGGTTTGGACGTGGATGTGGGTGACATTTTGGAAGAGAGGAAGGGCCATCATGGCTGGATCTACCCTCATAAATGTACAGGCACCTGACGAGAGGGGGATCGGGCTGTCTTTAGTGAATATCAGAGATCAGATTCTGTTTGTGTTGTGGGTAGTCCTCTAGCCTGAATTATTGGAAGATGTGGTGTCGCGATCTGTTCCGGGAGGATCTGGATGCGAGGATGAGCTTGGGTAGAGTTTCATGGTCGTGTTGGACTTCGTCGACAATGTGATTGACTAGCTCCTGGGGAAGGTCGAATTCTTTTGAAATGAAGATGCTGGAAATGAGATCTGTGACCTTACGGAGTCTTATTCTAATCAAATGATTACCTGAGTATTGGTTGAGTCTATTTTTAAGATCTGACAAGGCGGAGAGGACTGGCTTTGGGAGGAACGAAAAAAGACAAGTTAAGGGAATTACGGAGATGTTTGACTATCTGTTATATTTTGAGACTCAGCTTGACTGAGCTGCAACTTAACGGGCCATTACTACTGCGTTTGCGGCTTGTTTACTGCGATAAGCATTTGGATGAGACGATTTAATAGAACGCCAATGCTTTGTAGAACAGTAAAATAATCTCATATCTAGGGAGTACGCCAATGCTATCGCGGGCGGGGTTGCAAGCATGGTCACAGAAGCTCTGATGCAATGAACCGTGACCAGAATAGCCAAGGAGTAATTGTGCATCCAAAACATAGCTATGTCATAAAAGTAGTAAAAGTGCCTCTTCGATGAGGAGACGACCAGCAGAGAAAAAGTGTCTTTACTGTGACCGTCGTGTTATGACGAGGTAAGTTTATCCGATCGAGTACCCTGATCACCAAGTCATCACGGGCCTTTTCCCCAAATGCACCCCTCAATAAAGCATCACACCTATTTTAGAAAGGTCAACAAGTAGAAGGCATACACTTATACCCATGAGGAATGGCACGATAGGGCGGTTTCCTTGTTTCTAATTTGACTTGAAGTCGGACAACGATCACCGCCGCCGTGATAACCGACAAGATTTCAAAAACGGAATGGTTCGTAGGAATAGTGTAGAGTAACACTGCGATCAGCTGAAAGCGAGAGAGGGCTTTATTTGTGACGTAGACCGAGATCAGGTCTGTTTTCATCCTTTCACGCAGGGGATTACCACTCAAAGTGGCCATCGCTGGCTCATGAGATGAATGGATGAATTTGGGAAAGGTCACTTTTAGTTGCGACTATGATAGCTAGCTTTGAAACTTTCTTACTATAAGTCTTTGTCATTAGCACCAGTGGTCAGAGAGGAAACGATTTCACCCACCTAGACTCTCACACATGAGGCGACCGTCTCGTTGAAGTAACCTCGTATCGAGACGAGACAGTGCCACGTACGGTGGCGGTGACTCGCCTATAAGTTTGAAATACAGGTCCGTTAGCGCTTGACATCGGGATTTCATGCCATTTCCAGCAGACAGGAAGAAATAAGTACCATGAGGCTAGAAGAAACGCATAGAATCAAAGCAAGACTCGAGAAATTTGATAATTTCCGGAAGCTTGCATATTTCCATAGATGAGCCTGTGGACAAGAGCTCGACTCTCTACCAACCCTCGAGCTTTAACATCGGACAGCTCGTAGGACCTAGATACAGATCGTGAGGAGCAGAATGAGGGAGCTGGATTGAAGCTCAGATAACATCGTTGAGATAGAATTGCCCTTCATTTCGTATTTGGAGAGATGGTTGTTCACCATTAACATTAAAACAGAGATAAGAGATAATTGTAACCCTAACCCGAAGACGCTATCAAAACTTCTGGCACGCGCTACCTACCGGTCCGTGCGGGGCCGAAGGACTTTCCTTTCTACCACGATGACGACGACGAGACTTTCCTCGCTCTCTACCTTCTCTGTATAAAAATTCATTTTCCTTGTCATTTGTCTCCCCCCTTCCCTGACCAGGGGAGTCCCTCTCTTCTTACTACTCACTCACGGTTGTTGCCGCGCAGTCGTGCCTGCTGCGTGGTCGTCTGGTGATGGCTTGGTGACTGTGTGTTTCTTCATTTAACAGCAACCGATGCCATATTGAGTGCATATATCCAGGTTTCTTGCTTTCAGGACCATGTCCGAGGGTGAGCAGTCGCCTTCTGCTGATATCGCCGCGTCTTACTCTACCATAGTGTATTCACACCCCCTACGTTATGGCGTATCTTGATTGGTAGGATCGACCTAGCCCTTCGGCGTGTCTCCTTGCGCATTTTGTGGGTGGCGGGTCGTGGGAGCTTGGTGAACCGATGCTGTAATGTCAGTGCAAGTCCCGTCCGTTACCTCGTTTACACTTGCTGGAAGATGCTACAGGCCTCGACTGTATGTTGTGAAAGACGGAATCGCGCACCAGCGGCTTCCCACCTTTGCAGTTCTTCACACGTTCTTCAGCACACCTCGACGCCAGTTGGACTCAACCTGTCTGTCCACCAACAGACTCTCGCGTAGGGAAGCGTTGGTACGTCTTACCGGTTGCCTTCGATCTTCTTCCGCTTCTCATTTTTCTCTCAGCCAGATTGGTATTGACGCGGCTCTAACGCGATTTCAAATGTGCCTCGCCTCATCGTCACCTGTGTCATCCAGGCCTCTCTTTCAAGTTGTATCTGGATCAGCGTAATCATCACCGCTAGTGATCTGAGCGAATCGAAGCGCAAGAAGCCCTGGTTGACTGAAGGCCATGAAAGACATTCGTGGAACTACTTGCGGCTGCTTGATTTTGAATGTTCGTGATATCAGGAAGCGTAGAAGCTGATTAAAAATGCGGCCTTCGCGTCTGATGTCTTAGATCTCGGAGGTGGCGTATGTTTCAATGTCTGTGATGGTTTGAAATCCGAGATTCATGTTCTCTCTTTAATTTCGTTTAATGTTAAGTCGGTCGTGGCGGCCAGAAGGTGACCAATATCTATTATGTTCCGGTGTACTAACTCCGCATGGGTTCACAGGCCGGATTGTTATAGCTCTTTTTTATCGACAAGTATGTTTTATATGATTCATATTCCGTTCCTAGCCAACCTTGTCTCAGTTCCTTCATCGCGAAAGTCCCTGTGCTACGTGAGAATATAGTGCTAATTCCGGAACCTGTAAGGCATATTCTTTACTTTTTGTTTGTCACGTATCCCTTATCGACTATTTCTGTTTCTTAGTAGATTCTCGAGCAACCTTAATCTTTGGTAGGTAAAATATGCATCGTTGGAGTGCTGGCCCTTACCGGTTAGGGGAGATGGGATGTCTTATCGACACACGGCTCGGAGTTTTCGTTTGTGCATGTACCGGCCTGGCCATACGCTGCACGTCAATGGCTACGATAATTATAGCGGGGTGTTGGAGCACCACCATTCGCTGTGTTAAATATCCCGAGCCATCCAGAGCGGCGCTGTGTTCTTATCTCTCGTGGGTTTCTGAACACATTGGCTGCTATATCTAGTTCTCACGCTATTGAAGATCTGCCACATGCAAGTTTCCCCATTAGCGAGGCGTCTCGCGCTGTCATTCGGGGACGAGTGAACATGTATAGTGTACTAGGACAAACTTCACTTTACGTAGGAAAGCCTGCGAAACATGCCCAGTCGGTCGCTTACACTGCTTCGAACCTGACTGACTATTATTCCCTCTAATTCTTCGATCAATGTTTCATTCCGTGTCGATTCTGGACCCTCTAAGTCTGTTTACGTCGGTGAAGCCTATCAACCGTAATCGACCGACTAGCCCTAGGAGGTACCTTGGTATCTATCATGGCGTAGAAGCACCGTCTATGAGGGATGTCGCGCCACGATTGCGATTTCCATCGCTATGAATCACAATCTGCGTCGTCAACGCTCTCATACGTATTCAAAGCTGGCAGCACCGCATGGAAAATCGGTCAGACGTCACATATTGGTGAGTGACAGTCAAAATTGTTCGACCTCGTGGCTGATATGATATGGACACGTCAGGTAGCATGTTGAGAAAAAGGTTAGATATAACGGGGGCGTGCCATTTGGCCAAAGCATCTGGTCATCGCCCTTGATCCGTCTAGCATCATGTGTGCGTTCTATGTTTCCTTGCGTCCTGATCGCATATCTTGATTGAGAGAATATCTAGGGACGCGACGAGGAATGAAGGAACACAACAACCCATTGCTTGGAACGCCTCTGAAGTGAACGGAGGCAATTACAGAGCCACGTGCTGGTGAGAAGTAACGAGGCGGACTTCTCTTCCATATGCTCTCGTCGGTGCGATAATCCCAGGTTCAGGTGGCGTTCGGCGTGAGTTACCGATTCCGAATTGGGTGGCTCCGTTTTCCTTATCGTTTCGATAGCATATGGACCTATCCTTCCGTCTGAGTACAAAATAGGTCTGCATTCTAACGCCTGGGCGTCCTTACCCTCTCCATCATGGTGGCAAAACACGATAGCATGTCCTCCCGCGATGCGGAGAAGGCTGTTATGCCTGACATTGAGGCTCTCGAGGCTGTTGCTCTCCCCGACTTTGATGATCCCAATATCGACAAGGAGGCCGCAATTGCAGGATTGTTAGGTGCGTTGCCAACTCGTCAGTCTTTGATAACTCTCAGCTCTGACCTTGCTTTCGTGTAGAGGATGATTCTCCGTATCCAGAGGTCCGTTCCGCCGTGGCGAACACTGATGACCCATCCATTCCTGCATCGACATTGCGGTCTTGGGTGCTTGGGTTGATATGGGCCATCGTGATCCCGGTACTTCTATTCCGACCCTCTCGTTCTGTTTGAAATTTCTGAATCAACCCATTCATCCAGGGTCTCAACCAATTCTTCTTCTTCCGCTATCCCTCCGTCACGGTTACTAGTTACGTCGCCCAACTGCTTGTCTTCCCTATCGGTAGGGCCTGGGCGAGGACCATTCCTAATTGGAAGATTTTTGGTGTGTCGCTGAATCCCGGGCCATTTAGTATCAAAGAACACGTACGTCGGAGATCTGTTTGGGTGATCTGCGCTAATGGTGGAGTGACAGGTTCTGGTTACGATCATGGCTTCTGTGGGTTCTGGGAGTGCCTACGCCACTGATATCGTTGCCGTTCAGCGGGTTTACTATAATCAAACATATAACTTTGGATGTAAGATTGTGCGTCTCTACGTTCCATATATTTGCTAACGTACCGTGCGTAAGATCAATGGATGGTGGTAATGTCTACACAGCTTATCGGCTTCTCCATCGGAGGCATTGCCCGCCGGTTCCTCGTGCAGCCACCTTCGATGAGTATGATGCGGCGTCTTTCAGTTTATCTTTCAACCCCCGTCTAATTCGATTTAGTTTGGCCGACGAACCTGGTCACCTGTGCGCTCTTTAACACCTTGCATGCTCAGACTTATGCCGGTATCGGTACCCGCGGAGGTATCAGCCGGGAAAGGTTCTTCTTCTATGCCTTCCTCGGTTCTTTCTCGTGGTACTTTCTGCCTGGCTACCTGTTCCAGGCGCTCAGCTACTTTTCTTGGGTGTGCTGGATCGTGCCCGAGAATGTACCAGTGAATCAGATGTTTGGTTACGTGCATGGCATGGGTATGAGTCTCATCACGTTCGATTGGGCACAGGTGAGTAGTGCTCGCGATTCGTAATAGTGTTGCATGTTCTCGAATGACGATTCTTTTTTAGATTGCGTATATCGGGTCTCCGCTTGCCACGCCATGGTGGGCTGAAGCCAACATCTTTGCCGGATTCGTGACATTTTTCTGTACGTATCGCCTGCTTCCCGTTCTATTTCAGAGAGCCCTGATGATATCCGTCTATTCTTAGGGATCCTTACTCCAGCGCTCTATGTATAAATCCCTCTTTCCTGTGTTTGCCGCATGGCTGATGGTGCACATGTTGCAGTATTCGAACGCATGGGATAGCAAATACATGCCGTGAGCGTTCATTCTGTCATGAAAGACCTTACGTGACCTGTTTTTTTCCGGTAGGATTTCGTCCCGGGGATCATATGACCACTTTGGCGCTACCTACGATGTGACCAAGATCGTGAATCCGGACGCCACGTTTAACGAGGATGCGTACAAAGCGTATAGTCCTTTGTACATCTCGACGACATTCGCCATTTCCTACGGCCTCTCATTTGCGAGTATCACCGCTACGATTACGCATGCTTTGTACGTTAATCTTTCTCGGTCTATCGATGGCGCCGATTCTGACCAACGCGAATCAGCCTGTACTTCCGCAAACAGATCTGGACACAAGCGCGCCGGGCGATGCATGAGCAGCCTGATATCCACGCGCGTCTCATGTCGCAATATCGTCAGGTGCCGGAGTGGTGGTATGCAATTATTTTTGGTGAGTCTCTTTCGTGATGTGATATTGTCGTCATGCTGACGTGTATTCTAGTCGTTATGTTTGCATTTGGCGTCATCTCTATTGAGGTCTGGGACACCAAGTTCCCTGTGTATGTGGTGGTTATTTCTGTTCGTATCTTATCGCTAATGATGGCGCAGCCAATTCTTTATTCTTGCACTAGTCATCTCCTTCGTCTATGTCATTCCCATTGGGATGATCCAAGCCATCACGAATCAGCAGGTCGGACTGAACGTCGTCACCGAGTTGATCATTGGATATGCCCTACCTGGTCGTCCTGTCGCGATGATGATGTTCAAGACTTGGGGGTACATCACCATGGCGCAAGGTATGCTGTATTTTTGGACTATCGACCGATTGCTGACAGACGTCGGCAGCTCTGACATTCACCTCCGATTTCAAGCTGGGCCATTATATGAAGATTCCCCCACGGTCGATGTTCTGGGCCCAGGTGGTTGCAACCGTTATCGCCGGTACCACGCAGCTTGGCGTCCAAGCATGGATGTTCACCAATATCGAAAACCTGTGCTCTCCTACGCAGAAGGATGGCTTCATCTGTCCTTCGACGGAGGTGTTTGGGACTGCGAGCATCATTTGGGGTGTTATTGGGCCAGCGAGGCAGTTCTCCCAAGGGCAGGTGTACTATGGTGTGTGTTTTAGTGCGAACTCCACAACAGCCAATATTTAATCCTTTCTTTCCAGCCTTGGTGTTTTTCTTCCTTGTCGGTTTCGTCTGTCCAGTAATTGGTTATCTGATCGGCCTGAAGTGGCCAAATAGCATCGTCCGCTACATCAAGTACGTTCTCGCTTTTTCAAGTACCGTTTTGTAACGCCTCTAACTTTGTACCTAGCTTCCCGGTCATCTTCAGCGGGACAGGTGCAATCCCTCCCGCTAGCGCCGTCAACTATGTCCCCTGGGCTATCGTCGGCTTCATCTTCCAATACATCATCCGTCGGCGCCATTTTTCGTGGTGGACAAAGTATAACTACGTCCTTTCGGCGGCTATGGATTCGGGTGTAGCAGTTTCGGCTGTTGTTATCTTTTTCTGCCTGCAGTACCCGATGAATGGAGAAATCGGTGCGACGACGATTCAGAAGTGGTGGGGGAACACGGTGCCGTTTAGTAATGCGGATAACGATGGGACGCCTTTGTTGACGGTCCCTGATGGCGGGTTCTTCGGGTGCGCATTTTCATTTGCAGAGTCGTGCTGATATTGAGTTCTTTGCCTAGGCCGAGTACATGGGCGTGAAGGGAAGCGAAAATTGTAAGATTTATACTTGAGTTGTAGTGGTGACATGGCTGTAGCTGTAGATCATGTACAGTTCTATGTTGTAATCCTTATCAGTTTCATGGCGTAGATTTGACGCGGGCAGAAAATTTGTTGTACTTGTCCAGAAGCTTTGACTGATAAAACATGTTATTATCCAGCCGCTGTCTTTCACATGGCAGGCGAATCATATGGTGTATGTCTTGCAGTTTATCCTCTCCGGCTCTATTGGACATATGGGGAAGATACCCCCCCTCTGTTGGCCTCGGCTGTATATGACAAGAACGTGAAGCTCTTCGCCGCTGGTCAGACACCTATCAACCTCGCGTCTGTAATGATAGGTACGTACCCATGTTCTCCTCCAGTTCCGGAGCTCATAGTTGTTCAGCAAGGAAATGGAATAACAGATGGCATAACAATGGTTCTATCATACTTCGACGTGCAATGCACCACAGCCTCTGTCCCGCCAATCCTAGATAGGAAAACTTGCGTTTATATGAAGTCCGCAGTATGCATGCATCCATTTATACCTTGCCAGCTGCTCTTCCCGTTTCGTCAGCTCCCAAGATGCAGAAAATGGATGATCCGATCCTGCGTGGACCAATCCGACTCCATCAACTGCGGCGCTGCATACTCCTTCTGCAGCTCGGTTCTCAGCGCCCCTTACCGACAAGCCGGTACGCAGTCTCACAGTCTCCAGTTTTCTCTTAAGCATTCCTCGGCATTGACGGGGACATTTCTGTGATGATTTGCTACCCAATGACAAAGTCCCATCACCTAACCTCCTCATTCTCCCCTTATCTAATACCCTCCCTCCTAGATACATCCTCCAATACCTCGACGACCTCAACATCCGCACCCTCCTCGGTGTCGATCCCTCCCTAACTGCCAACTGGGACTAACCTGCTGGGAAGATGCGGAGCGCGAAGGGGTTGGCATTTGCTCCTGTTGATGGAGCGGGGCATATCGTTCTCTCAAGCCAGAGTGTGAAAGAGGACGATTAATTCGATTTCTTCAGGTCTCTTACGACAAGTTGAAAGAAGCTTTGGCCATGCATGGTTCAGCAGTGGCTTCGCGGGAACAATTTCTAAATCAATGCTTTGTCTTTACTCTGACTGCTTTCGAGATCAGTTATCAAATATTTTCGCCATGAATTCAAATTTGTATCCAAAAATAAAATACGTGCGATTCGTAGTGATACTTATAAAGGAGATTCACCACCCAAGGTGCGCGAACTAGTTCAAGACATCCCTCGCAGTATCCGCCTTCGTTCTAAAACCCAGCCCAAATATCCTCTCTTGCTTTCCCGTATCATAATTCATCAGATACTTAGGCCCCACTGCAACACCCGGCACACCTACGTGACCGCATAGCCAAAGTGTTTGCAGCATCCACTTTCGCACACACGTAAGTCTCCGATGTGCAGAAAGGAAAGAGATGAAACACTCACGCCAATCCTGCCATACATACGGACCCGCAGACACGACCATCCTCTCGCCCCTCGCAGCATCTACGAACAACGTCCTGATGTGCGCCTCCGTGAAATCACGCACGTGGACCCAGCAGTGCCCTCCGGATGCGATGTCTTCGGCACTCATGTCCCCACGGACAACGACGTTATACCATTCGTTGACCGCGTATCCGAGGGATTGGGGGTTCGGGACTTCGTTGATGAACGGATGATGTGTTTGGTGTGTGTGGAAAAAATAAAAAGGAAAGAAGAGCGGGAGCTCACACCGTGGACCTAAGAAGAGGGGTCGAAGAGATGAGATTTAATTGTTATGCTGGGGCAGGAACTTACATTCGGTGGGTTTATGACCGTGAGGTCCCAAGGTAATGTGCCTTTGCTCTTATTAAAGAAACCCCAGGCAGCTGTATTCACCAGATAAGTGTCCTGGGTTAGGGTTAGGTTAGAAGACTCCCCCCCTCGTACCTCGAGGGGAGGATAAGCTTTAGCTACTGAAAACGCACCGATATGGTTTGTTTCTTGAGTAGCTTGGCTAGTAAAGCCAGGCTGGGTCCAACAGGAGGATGGGGATCCATCGCTCCACCCTGTTTTGCTTTTATGGCTCCTCTTCAGGGACCACCTGCTTCATAAGCAGAGACATTGAGTCTTTAAGGCCATTGGATAATGTTGGAAATCCTGGGTGTTGTGCAGGGTAGACACCAGGCTGGTAATGCCAGATAGGATGAACTTCTTATTCTACAGCTCCTACAGAGCTTATATTTATACTCTCCAGGCTTATATCTAGAATTTACCACAACTTTCTCTTTCTCTCGAGCTTACTCATCAACTCTCAGCATGATGTTGGATTGCCCTTTCTAGAACTTTCCAGCAAAATCCCAACAGATAAAGACTCACATTGCTAACTACTGTTTGTTTGTCATGCAGTTGATACTTCTGTTTGGTTGTCTCTTCACCAATATTCTTTATTTATGGACTTTGCTATTTCTACAATGCCATCTATGTTCAGCTATATAGATTCATGTTATTTGGATCACTCCAAGGACTGGATGATCTGTACACTCTTCTTCAACCAACCCATCAAATCGTCCACCTCATGTGCCAATCCCTGATAAAGATGATATGATATGCCCCCAGCCTCATTCGCAATCTCTATGATTCGAAATCCAGATGCTTTCAAAGCCTCCACACACTCTATTCGCATCGAGGGTCAGCACGTCGTCGTCAGTTCCATGAGCGATGAATATTAGTATATACTTCGTTGTCGGGGTGGTACCCTACTATTCCATGAGGAGACTCAACAGCAGAACGATAATGATTCTTGCTTCCGTTAGCTTATCAGCAAGTAAGATCTTCTCACTGAGCATCATGATTCCTGCTATGTGCAGATCGTCGAGGGTTACGCCCATGACCAAGAACATGCACGCTCCTTGGCTGAATGCACTGAGCAAGACTTTCTCAATGCCCTTCTCGTGCTCTTGAGCGACGATATGCGAGATGGATTCGATAGAATACATTATCCCTTCTTCATCTTCGGGTCCGTCCCCTCCGACATTGTACCTTCACCAGAATCATTAGTATATTAGCTGGACTAGATATGTCATCTCACGATGCTGGTACTACCGCTCCGCTTAGCCATGTGCATCAGCATAGAGGACTTTTATCGCAAATGATTAAAACGCGATGAGGCGATAATCATGTTGAGATCTTTTCTGTCAGTCTGAAAACGAGGATAGCCGCCCTCTCGATCCATCAAAGGTAGCCAGCCTCGTCACACCGTGCTATGACATGACATTTCTCAACTACTTTCTTTGAACGAAGAATTGTATTCTATTCAAATATGTGTGTTGTTTATCGAATTGATAGTAATCTCTCGAGAACGAGACTTGTTTGTTGTGGCAATCTATGCAATCATGTGATCTGTTTTCATCTTCTTCATTGCAGAGCACATTCATCCTGACTTGTATTCCCATTTGTGGATTGTGACTGCTCCATCTTTTCTTTTTTTTTTTTTTTCAATTGATAAGATTGATTATGTATCCTCTTGCTCCATGGCTCTCAAGAAGTAGAGTGCCTTACAATCTGGGCAAAGTCAAACCACAGTGTCACTGTCATCTTTCTTCATGTGAGAGACTCCAATTTTCTCTGAGATATGTACTGATCAAAATCAGAGATTAGCAGCAGTGCCAGTGACATAGGTTGGCTTGTGCAAAGCATCACTGCTGACCTGCAACTGCAGCATATCAAGTGGCTAATCCCTCAAGTGTGCATAGTTCTTCCCATACTTATATCAAACCATCCTGATATCTCATGTGCTCTCAGATCACATACCCCAGTTGAAATCAGAAATGAAAAAATATTTGGTAGCATCTGTTCTACATTTAATTCCAAATGCTTCAGTCATCATAAATCATGTACATCTCCATATTTCAAGATTTTCACTCACTCATAACACATGGTCCTTGCTCAACCACCACTCAGTCTAGAAATAATCTTTCTCTAGGTAAAGTGTATCTGTCATGCAATCCAAACCATCCTTCTGAAGCATGTCAAGCCCAATCATTCAGCTGATTGATGATCTTGCTATCAGCACACATCATATCCAGACAGGATAGCTTTGTGACACCAAAAGCTGCAGCTGGCTCCTTGCTAAACTATTGGTGTATGACATCAAAAACCCTTTTACCATATTTTCATCACCAGTCAATACCAGCATCAACATTGAGACTCAATTGTTTCAAAGCAGTAAGAGTTCTGGATATGGCCAATGAGTCTAATAGTGATGAGATATGGTCAGCCCCTTCAAATAATGTGGAGAGTGAGTCAACATTGATATACACAATGAGATGGCTAATCTTTTCTAAAAGCACTGGCCTGATGTGCAAATATTTGAGGGAGCAAGCAGATTGTGGTAGAAAATCTTGAAGAGAATGAATCTCATGATCAATTTCATTTTCATCCAGTATAAAGCCTGATTGAAATTTGAATGCTCTCAATGACAGTGAAGTAATAATATCAAGTATGCTTGCATTATTGACCATTGAGAACTTCAGTTGTTCTATTTGAACTGATAATGTATTGGATCATCTTGGAGATAATAGGAGATAGAATAAATGAAATGATTCATCTAACTGCAGAATGGTGCTCTATATCTATGTTGCTTCTAACATACACATGTTATAATCTGCCTCCACCTCTTTCACCTTCTCCTCTTACACTCTGAGTATGTTGGACCCAAACATCATATGAGTTTAGACTCATGATAAACTGGTGCTCTACTGTGTTTGTATAATTGCACTGGAGTCTACCTATAGTGTCTGACTCATTGTGAGGATCAAGACTTTGCAAGTAGGCTCAAGAGTGAGTGGTATAGAATAAACATTAGCTCAAAGCTGGGGCTACTACAGCAAGAGCTATGCTATTTATATATATTTTGGTTTGTGATAAATATAGTGGTCCCTATTGTGGCTATCTATGAGTTGGAACTAAAGAGTGTGTTATGGATGCATGAAACAATAGAATACATATGTCATCAAAGCATTCATCATGAGTTGCAGCACAATGGTACAAGTCATTCATTGTAGGCATGGTTACCAGTCCAGCTGGATGAATAATGGACAGGTGCCCATAATTAGATAGGCACTTGATAAGATAAGATAAGTGGAAAAATTGTAACACAGTATCACTGTAAACCATAGGTCTATCTAGATCTGTGGAGTGTTTTGGAAGGAAGATATGGCATTCTATGAGTGCAGACACTCAAGTGATGTATCAGATGTCTGCAAAATAGTGCAGCTCCCTGAGAAATGCATCAGGAGGCTTGCATTAAAAGGGCAAAGGGGTCTTCCCTGAAATTAAAAGGAGTCTCTCTAGGTATTCTAGTTGCACATGCATGTCCATCATTTTCCAGTGCATAGATTTTTCAAGGACCATATCAATGATACAATCAGTATAGTCCTTGACAGAGCAGAAGCTGTTATAATGATCTCTTATTGCTACCCACAATAGATGTTATGCAGTGTGACAAAAGTGGTGGGCCAAGATCTCCATAGCTGTTCTTGGGAGGATGCATGGCCCAGGAGAATATCTCCAAGAGAACATCCCATAGAAGGTAAAAGATAGGTGACAGCAGTGCTTTGTGTCTGGAAAGTGAATGCTCTAATCATTCTTTTTTAGCACATCAAAGAGGTGATTTGCAGCTCTAGAATAGGGATCTCCTGTTTATATGCAGTGATATCATTTTCAATCCAAGGTGGATCAGTATCCAGTAATGGCTTTCTTCTATGAAGAATTGATGTTACTATCAGTTCACATTTGAATTCATCATCTAGTAGCTGAACAGAATCAGCCATCATGAGTGTAACAGTGAAAGGAAAGTTTGAATAATGTGCATGCTTTAATTTAAAGCAATGCAATGAATCACACTGAGTCAAAGTCTCATTTGACTCTTGACTCAGAGGCCACCAGCCAATTCCCTTGCTTTATATGGTCCAATAGAATAGTCTATGTATCTGATCTTGGCTGGTTTTTTCTTTTATGCCTTTGCATGTTCAAACAACTGCCAAAATTCATTTCAGAGCCAGAGATAATAATCCATTGAGTGCAGACACTGCAGAGTCAAATGAATTATCAACTATAGAACAGATAGTATTTCAAGCCTTGAAGCACCTCTCTGTCCAGATGTTGACAGTATTTCTGCTATAGGCTCTGCTAGACTGGTGCAGTTTAGCACTTGGGAAATGTCTGATAGAGCAAGATAAATTACCCTTTTTCCAGTACAATCAACTATTATGCTGATAGTCAGTCTTTATAGGCCAGAGAGGTATTGGGGGCCCCTTCTGATACTCAATAGGCTACTTCTTGAGCTTCACTAGTGGTTTCCTTCTCACTTCTGACCAGCACCAGGGTATTGTTGCACATGATATGCAGCCCCACAGTCATATCATCAGGATACAGTGACAATGGTAATTGGTGATTTTCTGAAAACATTACATGAGATGAGCTGAAGCAAACAATAATGACTGGACTAACAGTAAAGCATTCAGATTCCATTGATAACAGGTTGGAGAGCTGACCATAGGTTCAAGGTCTGTGTGGAAGTCAGACCAAAATGTGTCTCCTCCTTCAATGAGCATCCATACCTTTGTGAAAAAATTCAAGGAAAGCTGATATATAGATGGATTATGTAGACAGGAATCCATTAACCAGATCCATATATCTCTCCCACTCCCTCTACATGGGGGTATAACTCTATTTCTCCATGGTTACTCACTTCACTTGCCGAAAACCTCTGAAGAGAGGCTCTACGACCAAGTCCTGAGCTATATCTACGCGTGAGCCTTGGTTGTTGACCCTGCGGTGCTTCAAGCACAAATGAAGATCCTATTTTATAAGGGTAATCAGACAATCGAAGGGATCTAGAACAAGATCAAATATATGTCCTTGAAATAATGCATCATCCTATGAAGCCTATACTGAAGTTCAAGGACCTGATAAAAGGACCAGCCTGTTTTATTTGTGACATTCCTCAGTAAATGAATCTAGTAAAAAGTGACAATAACCCAGACCTAGAGAATTGCACATCAATATCTCGGGAGAAGAAAATAAGGACTACTACATCGTCATCTTCACATTGCACCAGAACTTCCCAGTCTGTCGCCAGATGAAATGCATTGACACAGTAAGCATTGTCACCTATTCATAACAGTTAGGACGACACTGTATATATTATGAACACGAAGCACCCACATGATTCTTCTTCTCCATCACACCCGCCAAAGTATGAGAACGACGTGGTTGGATTGAACAAGTTTCTGGAAACGTTGGCAAAAAATGAAACATGAAACCCAACATAACGACTTACGGTTGTATGACTGAAAGGTCCACATTAGAGCCTGCCCGAGCACCGTAGGATTTTTCAGAGTTATTTCCACAATTGTACAGTACTCGCGGTTAAAACCACAGTCGTCAGTGTCGAGCCTGCTAGGAAATGAGAACCAATTAATCAGTGATACAAGGAGAGTAACTCACGCCATTGCTGATTCGAAGGGACCCGTGCCAGTTTCTTCAGTTCCGGTCGAGAGAACTGTGAAATTCTGACTTAGGGTGAGCTACGATGACCGGATAATAAGAAAGTGGGGGCTGAATCTCGAATCTGAACTTACAATTCTGGTACCACATCTATACAACAGTCAGCAGAGTGCAAGATCCATAAGGTGGTGATGTACTGACTGATTAACCATCTTCACAGTGTGCAACTCAACACGAGCATATGGAATAGCACGAGAGAAAACAGAAGCGACAAGTATGAGAGCCTTGGCGAGCATTGTAATGGTCGGAAGAAGGATAGAGGAGTACGACTGCAGAGCGTCCTCTCTTAAGTGATTTCCTGCGGCAGCGCCCGACGTAACGACGCCTGGTCTTGATGGGCTTGAAAAAAACGAAGAGATGGATTAGCTTGCCAGGCATATGAAATGGAATTCGTACGTACGAGCACAAAATAACCCACTGGAGGTGTACTTGGCAGTGGAGCAACGTTGTCCAGGAGGGATAACAAAAAATCCAAGTGTAAGGACGATGGGATGTGAATTATACTGTCGCAGAGATGGAGTACAATTGAATGATAAAGTGGTTTGTTCCCTTGCATCACTCAAGTAATAGGTCAGCATCGGAAAGGAACAGTACCGAAAACTGCAAAGAAGCATGAGTCATTCCTAGCTCATTGCTGTGGAAGTGATTCATAATTCATTTATCATAAGATGGAATGTATCACTGTCGCTCACGAGAGAAAGCAGCCGATCAGCCATCGCCATCGTGGTTCCGGTGAACGTGCAAAAGTCCGAAAATGTAAATGATTGATTTCGCGATACCGTGGTCATGTGATATCTTCTATCACCGCCACGGTACACTACATGACGCGCCCACTCAAGGTTTGTCACTAGAATTTTGCGGGTCTCACTTAAAGGCAAGGACAAGAAAGGAGTCAATATTTCGCATACACGCCTATTTCGCCTGCAAGGTGTTGAGTTTGCGTTTGTTGTTGTTCTGATCGAGTCGCACCGTTTTCGATGGCCTATATAAATTAAGAGTCCCATGTTGATTCTCAACACTAAACAGTCTACTACAAGGCATCTCAACGATCCCGCTCTCGAACCGCCTTTTTCGAATCTCAGCATTACAAACACTATCTATCATTCACACCTTATCGACTCTACCACCGGACTACCGCATATCAGGCGATTATGTATATGTTATTCACCTGCCACGGCTGCAAAGAAATGTTCGTCGAAAGCGACCCCGCCGCTGTATGTCAGTGTGGTCAATTCTGGTGCTCCCAGATATGTATTTACGCGGTACGTCGCATCCAGTATTTTCCCACCAACGAACAACTGAAAATCATGAATCCAGTCCTTTCGAAACCATTTCACCGATGCCCCACATCTCCAACACAGATTTTATGATCATTGCCCAATCATCGATCGGGAAATAATGTATCACCATCCAGGGCACAACAGTATTCGAGGTGTCATACTTCCCCAAAACAGTGCGTCTTCAGCTCATCCTGGTATTCTCACACAAAATAAATGCGTTAGGCACTTATACCATACCAATTATTGTCACCTTCGTATTCCAACACGGAACCGACGGCGAGATACTGGACTGTATACCGAAGCTGAACGCCTTCTTTCCTCCAGGTGAGCTAGCCTGTCGAACGGTCGCTGCACATGGGGACGACCCACCATTTGAGCTTTGGTACCTCAAGAACCAAATGCAGCTGAGCTTGCAAGATCCTAACACTGTGAATGACATGATTATCGCCATCACCGGTTCTGTTGAGCGACAGAATTTATGGTACGGCCCAGTGGTCGCTCTAACAATCGAAAAAGATGCGTTTCCGAAGAAGTACACAAACGCACCGTTCTATTCCTCGAGCATCTTCATAAGATTTTTCCGGAGTTGTACCGGTCCTTGGTTCATGGGACATTAATTAGACCATTTATCATACAGTGGAACCGTATCGCTAGGTCCAAGAGAGGGAATCGGCAATGGCTAGTGATGGTCTCGGTTGTAGCTACGAACAAGCAGGAATCTACGGCAATGTAACACGTGATCTCGGAAGAACCGGACCGTGCCAACGTTCCCACTGTATATCCTATCCTAATCTTCTCCAAAGTGGGAAACTGTCCAACGTTTAAACGATTGCACAGGAGAAATAGCTGTATATGCGAAATCTCGACTGTTTTTTTTGGTCATCGCCTTTCAGTGCTACCCCGCAAAATTCCAGTGACAAGCACTGAATCGGCGCTTCATATAGTGTACCATGGCAGTGACAGAAGATATCACACGGCCACAGGATCGACGTTCTTTCGTCTGCTGGAAGTGTAGAAGCGTCGTGCGCTTATCATATTGGTACATTACTGTGCTATGATGAAGGACGTCACTCAGGTTAGGCCGCGGTGGGCGAAGAAACAATGGGGCCACGAAGCTGGGCGGATCGTCTCTATGCTTGATGCGCGATGGACTCCCTGGTTAGGATGGATTGAGACTCAGTTGGGTCAGGGGCGTTGGATTCAGGTTTTTGATTTACTGCCGCTGATCGACGCTGGAGATGATCACTTCAGCGCACGTCAGCGACTTTGAGACAGGTGATCAGGGAGGCCCTGATGGCTGGTGATAAAACTTGTGCTGCAGAGCCCGGTACAGAAGAGGGGCGCGTGACAGATGCAGTGCTGTCGCAAAAATAACTGAGGAAGGTAAACTTCATGGCAGTGCAGCGATTGTCCGTCAGTCCCAGCCGGAGCATCGAGAATATATCTATGCTTGAGGGTTATGCTCTGTTGCCACTCAGTACCACACTCTGAACCACACATGTAATGCGCGATCACGCTGAGCATTGTCGTGGAAGGGGCCGATGATGAAGTCCAGAAGCAAGCCATTTGCAAAGTGTTCCAAGATAGTGCACTGTTTGGTCAGTGATGATTGAAGATGGATCTGAAACAGCAAGGAGAAAATAGGGGGAGAAAGAGAAAAAGATGGGATTCCAGTATTTTAATGGTTCTCTGGCCTCCTTTTTTGCATAGATTTGATGCTTGACTATGACTGATACCAAGAACCTTAGTAAATGAGTGAAATGACATCCAATGTGAGACTTACCTTCTTTGCCCTCCAGATCCACTGCTCCCTCATTTGCTTCAGGAAATAATCCTCACTCAACACTTTGTTGGAGTTAACAAGATAGGAGTGTAGACATGGTGAACAAGGAAAAAAGTTTTGGAAGAGAACAGATGCTAGGATAAAATGTCATAACATTACTACATAGATGATAAGTAAATATGGTCAAGGATAGATATGTATAGAAGGTACTCACATCTCAGCATTATGGTTGAAAGCTGAGATGTGCAGAATGGTGTGACATGCCAAAAAAGGAAGGAATATCAAATAGGTAAGTGAACATGTGTGTATCATACTATTCCTACATCTAACACACTTCTTTCCACCAGATGACCTTTCATTTACATCTCACTTATGTTGTTGGGGGACACTTCATGTCACATTCAAGATCCTGTTCTCAAGTATATGATAATGCACTAAAGCAGAGCACTATGAACCTTTCTTTTTGCCATAATACCCAAAACTTTGTTCTCTCTTTGGCATCTATGGACCTGTTGACCTCTGAGTCAATAACATCTAGCTGATTGTTCATGTCAGGAAGTTGGGTTTCCCACCCTCTCCCTGTCAGGACCAAAATGGTCCTTGGGAGCACTCTTATTGGACTCAGAACTCAGTTCAAGTGCAGACTGTCCTGGAAAATGGCATCAATAGCATGGGAGCTGGTTGCCTTTTCCTCTCTGACATGAATTCTCAATGGCATTACTCCTGAGTTCTAGATTCTCTGTTATTCCTTGACCTCATTCTATGTAGTGATGTGCCAGACAACTGTACCAGGTAGAAAGTCAAATATATTTATTGTTTTCTACTGGGTTAGTTACTTTATTCCATAGTAAGAGATAATAAGCAAGTAATTACCTGGCAAGGGAACAATTCCCTTGAAGGGCATCATCTCAGTAATCCAGTAAAAGCCAGAGTACCAGTGAACCTTGCAATTTGGTGGGTGAGGTTTTCAGATCCAGAGGAACCATATGATCAGCATGCTGGCAAGGGCTGGGCAGAGTCTGGTTGATTGATTGAGCTAGCTGTGAATGAGCTCATATCTGCCAGGAGATGGGTTTAGCCTACTGGGCCAGGCCAGCAAGCCTATTAGTCAGTAGATCACAGTGTTAGTCAGACACCAGGATCCAGAAAGTATAAATATTTATATGGAGATAGGAAAGGCAGGTTTTCTGACCCCCCTCTCCCCCAAAAAATGCTATCAAGCAAATAGTAAGGGTTGTGTTAAGAATTTCGAGTCATAGACTCAACTTGAATAGTATTGTGGTGACCAGATCACTTCATTTTGTGCAAGAATCCCAGAAAGCAACTGAAAGTTTGTCTCAGACAGTCAGAACAGACCAGGAACAGTATAAAACAGTTCATTTTTGTGTATAAGTTGAAACCAGGCAGACTGTTTGAGATAGATTTTGTTGTGTTCAGTGACACAGACAACTTTGTCCCAGTAAACTGCAATGTATATCTTTGAATTACATTCTATTGCATCCTATCAACATTGCCTTCTCTATATACTGAGAATCCAGGTGTTGCCATTCCTCCCTTGAACTGCATTGTGATTTGGTATTAGTGATTTGGTGGTGTGCATCCTGCACATTGTTGATTCATTTAGTGCCACTTCTCAGCATTTCAGTAGACACTCAAACAAAGACAGTTTGCTTTGACATTTTGTTCCTTGCCAACTGATGTCAACTTCAGCTCTGCAGTTCAAAATTGGTCACTGGTATTCCATTGAGCAAAGGCATCATGGTAGAATAGATAGTCATAAAGGTAAATGAAAGGGGAAAAAATGGGGGGGGGGGGGGGCTTTCTTCACTTTGCTGGATGCCAAACAATTCAACTTCAGTTGATCAGCATGGTTGTGATAGTGTCATGAAAGGGTGGCAGCGTTGCATCATTGAATACTTCACTAAACGAGAAGATGAATAGACATTCCCACGGAATCGTGCGTGGTGTCCGGGGTACTTCTGCCGTGATTGCGGCTCCGATTTGGTCCTTCCTTTTTTACCATTCCTACCAAAGGATTTGCGACGACAATATCTGGTGTTCGAGTCAGTTCGGATGATTATACGTCTCACTTCAAGGATGCAGAATAGCATACCTTGAGGAACTCATCGAGGGTAGCACCAGCTTCGTATAGTGTAATTCCCTGTAAATTGATACCCTTTCGCGTAATGAGCTTCTCCCACTCACCATAGATCGTTTTAGATCGTATATCTGTATATTGGACTAATACAAATCACTATGTTTTCAAATGTTCTGCGCTGTCCATGACAATTTGACTGAGAGACAAGATATCAGTTCCGCTGCTCCGGGAACCCACGTTACATCGCAGCGTGGTTTGCGCTCCACTCCTGGATAGGCTGAATTCAAGCTCCTATGATCCCTTTTATGTTCAACGGATAAGTTCTTTTCGATACCACCTAAGAGTCAGGTCGGTTGATACGTGCAGTGCATGCCTGTTTCGGTGCGGCGTTCATGCCCTGTAGTTATATTGATGACCTTGGATCCTCGTTATGCGCAGAGATTGACTTAGGCATTGGCAATGTCCATATAAACGACACGCTGCAGAGTTTAGATGCTGGGCGTCACGAGTATATTCCCTGTGCAGACATGCTGGTGCAGCGTTAATACGAGCTTCTAATATCCACCGAATTAGCCAACACTTTCAAGTTTTCGACTGACCTCTGGTCTTGCGATAGTCGGGATACCAACATTGAACGAGTCGTTCAGGTTCAAAGATGTCTTGCAGTCCCACGCATTGATAATCTAAGGGAAATGTCATCCACAACGGGTAACGCCATAGGCCAGATATATACCACTCATTTTCAGCCTCAATCATATTGGCGGCATAGAAGAATTCGTGAAAAACGGCTGCTTCAAATGGTTACTTTGAACGAATAGTACCTAAGAATAACTAGTCGCTATATGGTAAATGCTCTGATTAATGTTCCACTAAAGAAACGAATGAAGGACTGGGATGAGTCATGAAAAATCTTCTGAAAACGTCCAAGTGATGCCGTTCTACATTTGTGTACTTCATCAAATATTCATCTCTGAGGACTATGAAAGCGACGACTGGGCTGTACCATAATTGCGGTAGCTCTTGGCAACCAGTAAGGCTGACAATCATGTGATTCATAGAATTGGAACCCTCCAGGCCCATCTGTATTTGGTTCTTGTGGTACCAAAGCTCAAAAGGCGGGTCGTCCCCTCGCCTACCAACCCTTCGACAGGCGAGCTTATCCCGAGGAATGAATTGGTCCAGCTGCGGTATACAGTCCAGAAACTCTCCGTCGGTCCCCTGTCGGGATAGGAAAGTGAAAGGAACTTCTATAGGAGCAGTACCTAACGCCCTTATTTTCAGTTTGAAAATACGAGGAATGAGGTGAAGACGCACAGTCTTGGGGAAATATGAGTCCTCGAATACCGTCGTTCCATGGATCCTGAGATACTATTTCCCGGTCGCGTTTTGGATAATAATCGAGAAATCTGTGTGCTAGAAGTGGGGCGTCGATGATATGCTTTTCATAGTACTGGACTCACGATTTTCGGTTCTTCATTCGTAGGAAAATATTCGAAGCCACGTACCGCTTCTAGGCATGTTGGCAGGCACCAGAATGCACCACACTCACATACAGCGCGGGGTTTCAAGGTGCCGTCTGTTGATCCGCAGCCGTAGCAGAATAATAGCATAGAAATAGACATAATTTTGTGATATGCAGTATTCTCTTGGTGGAGTCGATAAGGTGCGAATGATAGTGTCCGTAATGTTGATGTTGGGATTTTGCTGGAAAGTTCTAGAAAGGGCAATCCGGCATCATGCCGAGAGTTGATGAGTAAGCTCGAGAGAAAGAGAAAGTTGTAGTAAATTCTAGATATAAGTCTGGAGAGTATAAATATAAGCTCTGTAGGAGCTGTAGAATAAGGAGTTCATACCTGCTGGCCTTACCAGCCTGGAGTCTACCCTGCGCATCACCGAGGATTTCCAACAGTTGAGATTCGAAAAAGGTGGTTTGTCGAGACGCGTTGTAGTAGACGGTTTAGATTTGAGAATCAACGTGGGATCCTGAATTTATATAGATCAGCGAAAAGCGGTGTGACTCGATCAGAGCAAGAATAAACTCAAACGCAATGCCTTGAAGGATAAATTGGTGTGTATGCGAAATATTGACTCCCTTTTTTAATCGTCTTTCATTCCCACCCGAAAAATTGTTACAAGCACTAAGACAGACTACAGAACTGCAAACAAGGTTCAGCAAAGGGACAGATCTCCGTTTTTCAACGGCTGAAAACCGGAAACCGAAAGCTCAGTATAGCTGCCAAAACAAGGTGGACGAAGACGGAAAACTGTGACAGCTGTTGGCCGAATGCAAATTGAAGACCCCACAGCGGACTGAGCTTCCGAATGACCCTGGAAATAGTAGAGATGGCCGCAATGACAACACCGCTATGAAATATAAATGATGATAGTCCATGAAGCTTAACTAGGTTCAGATGTGTTAGAATACAACAAATCTCAGTCTTCACTCGTTGTAGTGGTAAAAGACTGAGGTGCGAATGAAAAGAAACCGGGCGGGAGTATGAAATGATCACGCAATTGTTGCGCAACTGAAATTAGAGGGAATGGACCGATATCCCGATGAAAGGGCATAGGACTGAATCCTCGACAAGATGTTTAGTGACTGACTATCGAGGAAGTAATTTTGACTGGCGCTTCGAAAACAGATTGGTCAATTTACGTGGTGGCGGCCGTGGAAATTAAATGTTCGGAAGCGGCCGCGGAAAAGTGAAATTGACGTCATGGGGCAATCAACGGGATCAACGGAATCAATTGCGTTGTCAAGGGCTGGAAAAACTCTAGATTTCCATTTTACCTCCCATTCGCCTTTTTTTTTCCATGCAGGATCTTGGAGACTACGACGACGATGTTCCTCCAGCGGCGACACACAGCTGCGACAACAGGAGGCCGGCTGATGAAGAGGATGTCGACTATGTTCAAGCCGTCGCAGAGGGTAGTCGTGGGAAGGCGTGGAAGAGTTGGTATCAGAAGAAGAGGAGAAGAGCAAAGCGTCAGTGTCATCGAGTCAGTCATCGATGTACGACATTCGTAGGCCATCCGGACTCGGCCCGTCGATCGAGGAGCACGCAAACATCGTACATCCCTATCGAGTTCAGGTCCCGTCTCTTCCTACCTATCGCCCGACGTCGCCTTTGCCGGTGGAAATCCTGACGGCGATCCTCTCGCACCTGCCACGGTTGTTGGTCCCTGCACTCGCTCTGCTCTCTCGCGATTTTCTCTGTGCGGCGCAGACCATTTTGTACGGCGACCTCGATATGAGGAACAGCCGGCACGGCGACGCGCTGTGGGTCTTCCTTGTCACACGACGGGACCTCACATCTCTCACGCATACCCTCCGTGTCCCTGCATGGCCCTCTCCGCAGGCACGGATGTATCTCATACCCCGCGTACTCGCTCGGATGGATAACCTCCGCTCACTCACCCTCCCTTCCTTCGACATCCACGTCGTGCGCCATCACTCTGCGTTTGGTCTCCGTCACGTCGAATTTGGCGACACACGTCTCTCCTGGCAGGCCGAGGCTGAATTACTCACGTGGCTGGATGGACAGACGAACATTGTTTCCTTGCGTTTTCCGTCGCTCCTCGATGACGGCGACGACTCGTCTCCGTCTACACCACTTCCCGCCACCCCGACGCGTTCCCGTCTTCTCTCAGCCCCCACTACACCCGGCTGCCTCTCTCTCTTTCCCATGCCTCCACTGTCGCCGCTCCCGCCCACTCCTACGCCGACTCAGGAGTCGTTCATGCACACAGCCGCGACTCTCCTCCCTAACCTTACCGCACTCCATGGTCCGCCACACCTAATCATCCTCCTCGCGCCCTCTCGTCCTCTCATCGACGTGTCTATCACCATCTCTACGCCAATATATGCGGGTTTCTGTCCTACGACCACGCTCGAATCCCTCCCTCCATCTGTTCGTCGCCTGAAGTTCGTGTTCAAATCCGTGGGTAAACGCACGGAGGAAAAGACACTCCATAGCGCCGCCATCGTATGCCCTCACATCGAAGAACTCGAAATTGAGGGAGAGGCCAGCGAGGATCGTTGGCGCAGCGTCGTCCCCCAATTCAAATCTCTCCGTGTCCTCATCATGCAGAAACCAGGGACAAAGACAGAAAAACAGCAATCGCTCGACGAGAGGTTCCCCCTCCCGAAACGAGCCAGGATGCGCTCGACGTCATCCTGTATTATCAGTCAGTCGGGTCACTCGATGGTGCTCAGTGAGAAAGCCCGCGCAGCCCGTCTAGCGACCGCGTGCCCCGCTCTCGTGCGCGTCGTGTTTCCCAATGGCGTAGAGTGGCGCCGGCCTCCTCCCCCCCCTCCCTCCCGTTCCCAGATCGCGGTCCTCTCTGCATCTTCTCCTGATGGATGACGATCTCTTTGTGAAAAAGAGAGGACAGGATGGTCCTCGGAGAAAGCCGGTCCTGTTGAAGGAGCAGAGGTTTGTTAGGGCAGAACCGGTCGAACAGGCTTCTGTCCTCACTGATAGCGATGACGATGACGTATTCTTCAGCCCGAAGAAGCCTCTCTCGAATGATAAGGTCGATGTCGACGTCGCTGGTGTAGGGAAGGTGGCTATGGCGCTGGTTGAAGGTGTGGTTCCTTTTTGTTTCTCCCTTCCGAATCTCAGCGCAATATTCTCTAGCGTGCACTCGTTTCTTCATGTCCATATTTTTCTGTGTCTCTTTTCTGCTGTGCTCTCCTGTGCGTTTTTTTTGTGTATCTGTGTGTTTTATATCCCCTTTTGCTTTTTGTCTTTTCGATCTCGTGTGTTGTTTTTTGCGTGTTCTTGTTGTTGTCGACGACCTTCTTATGGTGCGGAGCGGTGCTGTTCGGGTCTGGGTTTCCGTGGGGTTCCCGTTCTGATTGCTGGCGTGACTTTTTCCTGGCTCTCTTTGTTTGTTGATTGCGTTTTTTTGTTCTTCCTTGCCCTCCTCACGTTCTTTTGGGTTTTTTTTTCCTGTTGCTCTCCTTCGCTCCGTCTTCTGCTTGTTCGCCGTCCGCTTCGTTTGTTTCGGGCGTGGGCTGTTGGGGCCCTTCTTTCGGTTGTGTCTCGTGTTGTATCTTGGTTCTGGATCGGGGTTTCTTCCGTTTGTGAACCCGCTTGGTTGCTTATCGTTTTGGGGATGGGCGGGCCGTGAGTTGTTTCGGTCTGCTTTGCTTAAGATTGGGGGCCTGTATTCGCTCTTTGTTTTGCGCCTTCTCCTCCTTCTGCTCTGTAGAGTTGGTTGTCTGGACTGGCGCCTTCTTGTCGTTCCGTGTTGTTTTTGCCTGGCTTCCCTTTTTAGATCCTCCTACCCTGTCTCTGCGATCTCTGCGTCTCTCTGTTCTGTCCGTTGTTTCTGTTCGCTTTCTTCGGAGGCGTTTTGTGTCTTTTGTTGGTGATTTGTCTGTCTACGGTTCAATAGCTGTTTTTGCAGGTTTGGGTTGTGGCTGTTGTGCTTGTTTTTGATTCTTTTTGTCTTTTTCTTGTTCCTTGCTTTTATGGTTTTTTTCTTTGGCGGCGGACACCTTTGTGGGCTGTTCCTTTCTGTGATTCCGTGTTTCGCCGCGCTCTTGTTGTGGTCGGGATTCTGTTTTTCTCCGCGTTCTAGGCTTTTCATTGCTTATGTTTTCCATCGTATTTTGCTCTCTATAAGGTATGCCTCTACCTTGTAGTTTTCGTACTGCTGATTTACTGTGCACAGTTCGCAATGCCCAATGGTGAGTCGACCCATGTGATTCTCATGGAGTATATCGAAGGAACAACTCTCGCTCAGCTACAAGACAAGTATCCGAGCCAGGGTACTCCTCGATATAATCCCTTGCCTTAGAAATCCTATACTGAATGGTTCGAGATAGCAAAAGTGCTCGTAAGTGCTCCTCCATCATTTTGAAGATTTTGTCACCGATGATTCCTCAGTACATTTCAGCGCTAAGAGGCATGTCTGTAATTTCCGAGGGTAAAGTAATACATTGCGACCTCGAGCCGGAGAAATATGATGATCAAATCTACGACATCCCCGAAGCAAGTTGTGTACATCGACTTTGCGTTTGCAGCGCCGAATGGGCGTCAATACCATGTTGATGCTCATAAGAACTGCTATCGCTCCGTGAAATTTCTGACAGGCTGCTGTAGTCAGCATATGGAAGATTTTGAGAACGGGGCGAAGAAGAATTCTACGGGAGACTTGACTTATCCTCGTTGAGGTCGTTGCACCCAGGTTTGTCTCCCGTTATATTACTATATTACAGACTATCGCAATCTTTATTTCGTTTGACTTACGTCTCTCAATCGTAACTCTAAAGACATAATTTTTCTGCATTACATTTCACTATCTCTTCCATTCTGTGTTGTGGAAGACTATCGAGGTATCGGATTTTTTTCCGCTTCGTCAGTATAACAAACCTCCCGCACATTGATGTCCATTTTATTATAGATCAGCATGGCGGAAAAAATTATAAAATTGAACTTAAAAAGCACTCGATGCAAGGGCTCCATCCGATTTAATATTTAAATGATGGATCCAAACCATCAATCAAAATGTATTAATGTATGTATCCTACCATGCAACAGTGTGTTATATCACTACCATCAGCCAGTAATGTGACCCTTCAATTAGCAAATACCTTGCTCATCATGTCCATCACACATTGCTTGCAATAGAGTCTGCCTCTGACCCTTTCTAGAAATTCCCATGTCTATAAATATTGATAGTCTAGATCTATCATAAAAATTGATTCTTTAATGTGTTGGCCTACCTCAGTTCCTCAAGTGCCTAGATCAATCACTGGCTCACCATCACTTGCCAAATAGGGTTGCATCACATATTTCCACCAACCCTGCCTATTTTTCTATGAAATAATGTGTTTGTCTTTTTACACATAACATACTAGATGAAAGTCAATATATTATATATTCTACCAATTACAGATAAGCAGAAATTCAGAAATGCAAGAATATCTAAAAAAAAATAGGCTCTGAGCACAAAAAAGGCATTGCATTGAAAGCAATGTGACTATTACCTGGATACATTTATCAACATCCACCACCATTCCCTTCTAAAGCACCCTATCTTTGGCCTTGAGGGAGACTCATACCAGTAGCATCTCCTTTGGTTGATATTACTTTTCTATCTAATTTTGACTTGAACTAAGCATGCATGCAGCAGCTCTATAAACAGGGATTACATACCTTTCATAAGACCTAGCACTACTTTCAGCATGAGCTTGATATTGTTCCTCAGGGATGATATACTTACATGGATGGCTGACTGAGAATACCATCATAGTTGACATTAGCATTAGTGTAAGTAATGGATTCATTGGATTGCACAGATTCTTGTCTGATAGAAATTCCACAACCAACATTCAGGTGAAAGTTGGGTATCATCTCAAAGCTATCATGAATTGGTGTACATTAGTTTAAAAACTGAGGCAAGAGGCCATATAATCAGCTGTTAATCACAGCTGACTTTTTCTGCAAGTCATATCTATTATCTCTATGCCAGTGATGTGCTTGGTAACAGCTAAATAACTAAGAGAGGCAAATGAGGAATGAACTCTCAAACACCAACACCTAACCACTCAATACACAATCACCAAATACAGTTGAGGTTGGTTGTTTCAAGTACAATAGAAGCACTCTTGCAGTCTTAAGTAAAATCAAAGAAACAGTCAATAAAGATGGTTATTCAACTCTATCTTGCTTTCAAAGATGCAATACTCATGAGAGTAGTTTATAGCAATGTTTAAGTATAATTAGGACTTAGAATCAATGCCAAATTGTGCTCCAAATCAACTTAGAATATTCTAAAACCCAATGAACTCCAAAACCCAAATACTAAGTCTATCAAGCACTTAGGCTTGACTAGCTGCACTCTTGGCTGGCTAGCAGTCCTCAAAACTGAAGAACTTGTATTCTGATGCTGAAACACTTATAGTTTGAAACCCAAATTAATCCAAAACCCAAAATACAGTTAATATTCCAATCCAATTCTCTCTAAGTGACAAAGCAACTTAAATAAAGCACTAAGTCAAAGCAGAACTCAAAATCCATTGCCCCAGGGACTAGCTACAGTGGGCTAGAAGGCCTGAATGTGGGGGTGGATCACTTGCCTGCTATTTCCCCTCCTTTCCTTCTTTTATACATCAACAACAGGTGCAGAATCTATAAATAAAGTGTCAAAATAATATTTCTTCTGTTTGAAGTGGAATCACACCATTATTCTGGAATGGCAGCACTCCTGGACTCCCCTATGCCTGCCAAGACCTGCCTGGCCATTGCACAGCCTTATTTTAAGCCTACAGTGCCTGTGGGTATCTAACTCCTTTCTGTCTACCTAGAGTTTCAATCCTCTGAGTTATTCTTAGTAGCTCAATCAATCAGGCCTGGTCAACTGGTCCTATCCACTCTATACCTCTCAATTCTAAGTCCCTTAGGTCACCTGATATCTAGAAAATTTGGACTTAGGCATTTGAGTCAAAACTTGGAGTGCTAGCCACAGATCATTAGGTCTCTCTTCTTGCTGCTCCTGGATGATGCTGTCTTTACTCAACACTCCACAACTGGCTATGGTATTATACCTCTAGCTGTCTTAGAATATACTTGTCTTAGTGGCATGTAGAATTCACCCCATTTAAGGTACTGTTACTAAGTCCAACTTGGACTTAGTATTTCTCAAAGTGTAGTGCAGAATTTTTCTAAGTTCAAACCTGACTTAGCATGACTATCAGCTCAGAGCCTCAGCCATAGTCCTCTACTGGCTAATAGTCCTCAGTTACCAGTATATTCTAGTGTGTTATGCAGAATTCATAAATTATAGGGCTGGACATGTATCCTGCATATCAGTGGTACACAGAACAGATATGTAGAGCAGTGGTGGAACCATGAAATGCAACAGATGCTTCTCTCAATGCACAGGTCACACACAAGCTGATCCTATAAATGTATATGTTAAGCCCAAGTTATATGTGACCAATAACACATGATAAATAGATGCTGTATCATGTTTATACAGTCATGTCTGAGTCCACTATTGTGCTAGGCTGGCAAGTGCTACAAGGCTAGGGGCAGATCAGCTCAAGTGTGAATGGTATAGAATAAACTTATAGCTTGAAGCTGGGCTACTACAGTGAGAGCTATCCTACTTATATACTGTTCTGTCTGTTACAATTATAACTACTGCCTATTGTACTATCCTGAGTTATGATGCTGATCCTGCCTGATTATTAGAGATATGACAATGGGGAATTGTCTGTGGATGAGGTGACTGAAGACAATGATATCTCACCTATTGTGATTATCTAAGATTCCAATGCCCTTTGAGAAAGTGCCCAAGATAAGATAAGCATCCAAAATTAGATAAGAAAATAAAAAGAAAAAGGTAACATACTAAGCATGTGAAGCAAAATAGAGGTAGAGCACAATAAAAGAAAGGCTAGCCATAATAGGCTTGAGTGATGATTGGTGGAGTACATGACTTAGCATCAGGATGATACCAAAGAGTCACACTGTGCAGAATATCTCAGTACTTGACACTGAATGCACTGATGATAGCACAGAGCTTATACAATAAGAATAGAAATCATGCAGAACTATGGATATGACCTTGTGCATGAGAGACTCCACATATGATCTTTTCAAGGCACTCTGAGCACAATCTTTGTGTGGAACTTCAAGCATAATCTTGCATGAAACTTTATGCAGTACTGATGTATGACACATAACTATAAGGTGGATTAATTGAAATACTCTATGCCAGAAGTAACACATGTTGTGAGTAAAACAGAATATCTGAGCACTCAGCTGGAGAACATAACAATTGTGGCTGACTCCAGACATGAGAGACAACCCTGGAGGTCTAAAACAGATCCTGGGAGTGACAGAATAATTCTGAAAAGATAAGAAAGTAAAGAGACCTGTGAATAGGCCTACTAACAGAGCTAACTGATGTCAGATTGCATAGAAACAAAGGGTGCAGTCCTGACTCAGAACAGAATATGCATGTCAGACAGTGACATATGTGAAAATAGCTTATAAGAGACTCTAGAATGAAGTCCCATGCATTGAAACTACTATATTAGGTTTCTCTTAGCAAGTACAGTAGTAGCCTATTTAAATACTGCATTGTAAAAGTAGTAGACATGTTTCTGACCTCCCACAGTTGCATTGTATTGAGCATGAAGGCCTTGCACTTCAGCTCTGGATTTGATTTTGTAGCTTCAGATGAGAGAATACATGATTTATTGAGGTCATTAAGAGACATCTGAGGACTGTGTGAGGCATAAAAGTTCCTGTAGGACTCTAATTCAATTTAATAAGAGGTTTTGAATTGTGCTCTAGTCTGAGAATAAGAGAGCAGCATCTGGAGGGCACTCTTTTGAGTTTTTGAGGTATTTGTGATGTGAGGTATTACAGGTGGCAGAGGTTCAAACCCTTTGGATCTGTGGACAGGGTTTTATTTCATTTTTGTGTCTCTGAATCATATAGGTTTGAATCCTGTGGGTCTACAACCAGTTTGAAAACTTGTGTGCAGAGATTTAAATTCTTTGGCACTTATGGATGTGTTTGTGAAGTGTTTTTGCTTAGAGAATGAAAGCTTTGAGTCATGTAGTGTGTGTATTAGGGATTTTGAGTTGAATTGAGCATTGCTTGGGACTTTTGAGAGCTTTGTGGGAGTGTTTTGATGTATTGTATTGAGCTACAGTACCCTTGCCTTGAGGCCTGGCAACATTCATTGCCACCTCTTGTTTTTAAGCAAAAAGCTTGAGACTTAGAGAGATCTGAGATGGTGATACAAATGCTATTGCTATTCACATGCAGTGAATCATTGAAGAGACAGTTGTACTTGCCATATAACTACTCTTATCACATTACAATCCCCCAATAAACTAAGAAGCATTGTGTGTGTGTTGGTGTGGGTGTGATCAGTGGATAGCACTCTGCTGCATCAGTTTTCACCTTGCATGCATGCAAAATGTCTGCAACATTCACCTCTATGTATAAATTGATATCATGCCTTTCCCAGTGCCACTCCCAGAATATCCTGCATCTGCCTCAGATCCATCTTGCAAAGCTCTCTCACATTCCTCACAGAGGGCGATATAATTGAAGTATCTGTGTTTCTACAGTGCTTGGATCTCTCCCCCAGTCATCATGTTGTCTTCTCCAGAGTTTGAGCTGGAATTCGGCGATACTATGCTGAATGTGACCATGATGGAGTCATTGGTGCATGGTTCATAGGCTGTTTTTTTTTTTGCAGATAGGATAATCACTCATTAACATGGATGTTATTTTTTAGGAATTTACACTATGGTAGTTGTGTTTACTCTATGGATGATAGGTGTGCTATATCATGATTGTGATTTTGTTTTTCACTGTCTTGACCTGTGAGTCCTAGCTGGGACTGAGAAACACAGGGCACAAATCTTTATGTGCGCTGTGATTGTTGCAATGTACCTTATCGCCACCACGCACTTGACAGTTCGGTCGTGCTATGTCCAAGGAGCATTCATCAGTCATGGCCAAACGGACGAGACACAATTTGATTATCTGTTCAATGTGCCGAAATGGATGCTTATCAGCTCCGTCTCATTTATTCTCAACATGATCATAGCCGACTTTTTCCTAGTAAGTCACCGTCAGTTCGTTTTATAAAATGTTTTCAAGAGTTGAAGTCGAGGTTTGGTGCTGCTGGACCGTTTGGGAACAGAAGTGGATAGTCGCTGTGATACCCTCGCTGTGCAATATCGTCGGGATGGGCATGCGGTTGCACGTTCCGTATTTTAGTCATTTTTTAACTTGTAAATTCTAGTTTTCGCTGGCTTCAGTATGTATCAGCAAGCGACGACGCCGCTACCAGGGAGCACATGGAGCGCAGCTCAGATCGACTGGCTCCTGCCGTATATGTGTATATCGGTGGCGGTAACCGTTGGTTGCACCACGCTTATCGTCTTCAGGATTTGGAATGTGCATCGCAGAACGGATAAACTCACCCGGCTCCAGTCCTATCGGTCTTACATGTTCAGCAGGGTCATCTGTACATTGATCGAGTCGGGCACCATGTACGCCGTATCCATGACTGTCACGTTGGCATTCTACAAACAGGGAGGTCTCGATGCCGATTTTCCTATATCTATTACATCTACCGTTACTGTGAGATTAATTCCGTTCGTGCATGAGTCATTGAAATCTGATCAGATCGTCTACAGGGATTGGCCCCTGCACTTATAGTTGCCTAAGTTGTATGTGGCAGTACAAGGCCCGCGACGATATGGCAAGAACCACCCAGGTCAATTCTAGAGTTCAACCGCACTCTTGACCCGACTAGCAGTTTCCCCGCCATGCGTTTTGACATCCATGAAGATTCTGGGGCGTCAACGTCGTCGGATGAGAGACTTACAGAGAGGGATTCAGATCCTGAAAAGGAATGGGGTAAGGATCGGGTCGAGGCAGTTTAATGGCCAGTGGCCTATTGTTGAAGTCGGGTTATAGAACAGGGATGGGGAACGCACTTTTAGAACGTAATATTTATTCAATCTGTGAGCGTTTCTCCACGCTGGAACTGTATGCTGACAGAGGCACATCACTTACTTGACTGTCTTCAATGACTCGGCAAGATCGTCTGGCTTGTCTTTCGACCCGCCCGCGACTTGACTGTCTTCCGTCCTATCATTAATAATTGATCTGGTCTCCACACAACAGGATAAAAATACCTATTGCTATTATTGCTCTGCTATTCTCACGCTTGTCATCCATTTTCTCTAGTATCTTCACGCAGCAACTGTCATGTCTTCTCTGACTTCTGCTCATATCGGCCCCCTTGGCTCGCTGTATTTTTACTCGAAGATGAATGGCACCTGGCATCTTCAAGTTACTTTCAGCGCTGTCGTTCTTGATAGAATTCGAGGCTCGACTTGTCGGTGCACCGGATAGCCTCCCCTGGTGCTCCGCTACGTCTGCGAAATGCACCATACGATGTTCTCTCTCGGGGGGATAGGAAACCTGTGAATGGGCTACGTCTGATCATGAGGTCCACAGAGCAGACCATCTGCATTCTCTTCTATGCAGTTGGCTTTGTTTGTGCAGCCCTTCCTTTTCACAGAACCATTCCTATATCTTCACCTGACGCTACACGAGGCTGTTGGCCGGTTTCCTACGTAGGTGGTTGCCTCGTTGTGATGCATTTATGTGTTATAGAATACTGTTCTCCGATGCTTATTGGTCAGTCCCGATATCAGCTGCCCTTGGACGCGGTGTCATTGTTCTCGTGGGTTCCTTGCATCAATCTCCTCATTCACACCGCACATGTTTCTGCCGGCGTATCTTCAGTCTTCAAAATTTGTGAATCTTGAGATATAGAAAGCGTAAGGTCTGTCATTGTAAGTTATAGCACATGAAGGGACCTACAGATATTATTTTTGATCCCTTTGTTGAGTCACTAAAGTCATGTACCACACACATGCATCGTCCTCGACAACTTCTTACCCTTGTTCCTGTCTGTCTTGATTGGTTGATACGGAGCGAACAAAGCGCCGGCTATACCCGGTAGCTTTGAACGTTCCTCTCGGCATCGCGGCTAGCTATGAGATATAAAGGGAACATTTTTTTGATTTGATTCAGCGTAGGATTGCCTTCCTAAACAGTCATCTAGCCTTTTTTCTACTCTGCATTTACTATCGAAATGACGCCGCCACGAATGGCACCCGGTCAACGAGGAGGGTCTCCCTACCCTGCTACCCAGCAGCGTGGAGGAACTCCTCGAGGGCGAGGTGGCGCACGAGGTGGAGGAGCCGCTGGGCGACAAGGCGGGCCCAGCGTCTCTGTTGCATGTAAGTTCTGTGATGTTTAGAGAGAAAAAAAATCTATTGTTGTTGTTTTAATTCCTTATCGTTTGATTCTTTAAGCTGTTGTAGAGGCCATCGGTGTTCGTCGTCCAGGATTCGGTACTGCGGGTAGGGCAACTACAGTTCGCGTAAATGCATGCGAAATGAATGTCCCTGACATCACCGTTTACCACTATGACGGTAAAGTTTTTCTTTGTTTCCGTTGCGGTGGCTAACATGTTCCTAGTGGGTTCGTATCTTCAAGATCTATCATGAATCTATAGAACGAACGACTTTTGATTTCTCTAGCGATTGACAAGACACTCCGGGCGGCTTTTAACATGCAGTTAATCGAGGCTCTGCAAGCCCAGTACCCCGATGTCTTTATCAAAGCAGCTGTGTATGATGGGAAGAAGAATTTGTATACGAGCCATTGGTTGGATTTTGGTACTGGGAATTCTCGCCAGGTACGTTTCTTGACCCATAGAATTGTATGATTTATCTTAATGAACACAGTTTAACGTGACTATGACGGAAGGGGCTCGCGTGTCCAATTTCAAGATCACCGTCACGGAGGCGAGAGAGATTAACATGGAGTAACTCTCATTCGTCTATTGAGTAAGATAAGAACTGATTGGCCGTAGAGTGCTTAGCAGGTACACGGCTGGTCAGCAGTCGTGGGACGAAAATATCTCTACTGCTCTTACAGTAGGTGTCGTCGTTTTTGTTACTACATGGCGTGACTTCGAATTCTCTAGGCCTTGAACATTGTGATTCGGATGGCGCCCTCTCTAACCTATCCATTCCGAGTGCGCTCGTTCTATAGTGACAAGATCACGGCGCCGCTAGCCAATACAGGGTTAGAAGCCTGGCAAGGGTACTTTCAGTCGGTTAGGCCCGCTTTGAATCGTCTGATCGTCAACGTCGATATTTCCACTGGCGTGATGTTCAAACCTGGTTCGCTAGTGGAAACATGTCTTGAATTCTTCACCGGGAATCGCAAAAGCAATCCAGACAGGTATTTACGAACATCTGGACCTCAGGCATTACCTCCGACGCAGAGACATCGTCTGCACACATTTCTTTTTGGCCTCAAGGTCGAGGCAGAATCCGCCGCAGGTGTCAGGAAAAAATATTCCATCCACAAACTGTCTGAGCGAGACGCTATTTCGACTGTTTTCACTCCGGCTGGTGGCGCACAGACCAACGTGGCGCAATACTACGCTCAGGCCAATCGGCCTCTACGGTATGCTAATATTATTTGCATCCAGGTATGATCTATATTCTCGTAGCGCAGGAAACATGTTGACCGTCTGCTAGACCGCGAAAGGTGCCGTGATACCTCTAGAGCGATGTTACATTTTACCCGGTCAGATTTCTCGTGCTGAACTATCTCCGGATGCTACACGAGCCATGGTTGAGTTTGCGACCAAGAAACCCGATGACCGATTGAGGGCAATCCAGACTGGGATTCAGGTTCATTTTTTGTTCTACTAATGTTATTTACTCACGTTCCCTCAGGTTCTTGCGTATGGACAATCCCGATACGTCCGCGACTTTGGACTAGACATCAAGAGTGCTTCCTTACCTATGGATATTCCAGCACGGATTCTCAACGTGCCGGAGCTCAAATACGGACAAGGATCTAAGCAACAGTTGGTTGTGAGTATTTGACTTGTTTGGAATACGTAAACCTTCTCGCTAAATCATCACTTATCAGCGACCAAAGGATGGATCTTGGAACCTGTAAGTACCGATTCCTCACCAAAAATTTTGCATGGTCTGACATTTCCTAGGGTGGACAAAAAATTTTTCAGGCCGATGCCTTTCGGGTCTTGGATGGTCGTGATATTCGTTCCACAGAATCGCTTCAGTCCAGACGATGCGAAAAGAACAATAACCGAGCTTGTTCGTAAATGCGAAGCTGTTGGTGAGCCATACTTTTCGCTTTCGGAAAGGCTTCAGGTCCTGACTATCCTTCCAGGCATGCTGGTGCAAGATAAACAACCACTCTTTGTCTACAAGAACCCCCAGAGTAACATTGATATGGTCTGTAGACAGCGATTTGGACTTGTGACGTAACGCTAATGCCTTCTGATAGTCTATCCTGGACGCGGTTACGCAATGTCGAAATGAGCGCAAAACGACACCAACCTTTATTGTGTGTATCCTCCCTGATGGGAGTATCACGGACTTGTACACGGCAGTTAAACAGTAAATACAGTTATCGCTTCCAGATCCAGAATAATTATTGACGAGGGCCATCTTAAGCTGTGGTGATGTTAGGGTCTGTGGATGGCGACTTTTGTTGTTTGTTATTTTGTTTACTGACTTTCTTTTACAGAGGGGTGTCGCGAACCAATGCCTTCGGGTTGGTAAATGTCAAAACGCTAGAGATCAGTATTGGTCAAACGTTGCACTGAAGTATGTTTTACAATCTCCTCACTCCTTGGATGGGGAGATTGAACGACTGAACTTTCTGTAGGATTAATGCGAAGCTGGGTGGTGTCAATGTCATCCCGGCGGCAGCTACACTTTCCGATCCCCGACAGCCAACGATTGTCATGGGTAAGTCAATTACAATGCATCGTAGCGTAGCTGATGGAGTGTACAGGTGCGGATGTCATGCATCCTGCTCCGGGCAGTCAAACGCCGTCGTATGCCGCGGTAGTGGCAAGCATAGATTCTAACGGTGCGCGATACATAGCCAAGACCACGCTTCAGCTAGGCAGGCAGGAGATGATTGGTGATTTGCGCACGATGGCGAAGGTTTGATTAAATGTGTATGTTCACTATTTATATATGACTTATTGTACGACAGGATCTGCTCTTAGCCTATATGAGTTATAGAACTAGCATGGAGAAGGTCTCAACACTGCCAAAGCGACTTATATTCTTCCGGGGTAGGACATTGAGTGGTTGTTTTTCTTGATCATGCTGATCTGTTCCTGTAGACGGTGTATCCGAAGGTGAATTCAAGCGCGTTCTGGACTTGGGTAAGTTGTTGTAGTATCTGCATCCATGTTAATGTGTCCTTGCTGACGTCCTTCCACAGAGCTTCCTCTGCTTCAAGGTACCGACTTTATCACCTTCATTGTGCCCATTCTGACTATTCTAGCTGCGTGCGTCGAGGCGAAAATGAATCCTCCTCCGAAAATCACGTTCATCATCGTCGGGAAGCGTCACCATATGAGGTTCGTTTGTTTTTCTTCCGATGATTTAGAATCAATTGCTAATGCTTTTTTCTCTCTCTTAGGTTCTTCCCGAAGAACCCTAATGACAGAGACAAAAGTGGGAACCTCCCTCCGGGTACTGTTATCGATCAAGAAATCACGAACCCCGTCGAGTTTGATTTCTACTTGCAAAGCCATGGGGGACTCCTTGGAACTAGCAAGAGTTCTCATTACAACGTATGTCAGCTTCTCAATTATATTTGTTGCTTGTCTAACTGCCTTGCTATATCTAGGTGGTTTATGATGTGAGTTGCTCGCCCGTCCTGACTTAGGCTGATACTGATCGTCATTTTTTTTTCTGACAGGAATTTGGGTTTACGTACGTCTTGCGTTTTAATGCAATCTACAACGGGCTGACACCCTTTACAGCCCGGATGCGCTTCAATTGCTCGCATATACTCTCTGTTTCACCTATGCCAGATCAACGCGCTCTGTGTCTATTCCCACGCCTGTGTATTGTACGTCTCTTTCTCTGGTTCCTCTTAGTCGCTTTGTTTATATATAAGCATTTGGTAGATGCGCATATTGTTTGTAGCCGTGCCAAGACGCACTACGACCCTCAAGCTGCACCATCGTCGGTCGTGACTGGGGGTTCGCAGACGCGAGAGGAGACGCTTGATAAACATCGCGGACAGTATCAACCAGTGCATGATATTCAGTCGAAGCGGATGTATTTCATGGTGAGTGATGTAATTTGAAATTGGGTATTAGAGAAGCTGAAGATGTTTTTTTTGTAGTAATTACTCTCTCCATCGCCATCGTCGTCGTCTCGAATGTTACGTCGTGTAATACTACTACCTACTTCTGTCGTCTTTACATTTGCTGAAGTATCCAAGGCTCTAATATTTGTATTGCTTCGTGTGTCAAACAACATGAATTTTTGATTTTTTTGTCTGACGTTTACGCATCTCGCCGAAATGTTGTCTTATAGGTAGGCGGTACATGAATTGCTCGGAAGAACCTCAGAAGCAACCCTAAGTTAGGGTTTAAACCAATGGTGGTACAGAGAACAGCAGTGGTGGGACCGCAAAATGTGACAGATGCCTCACTCTGTGGATGGACCATGTACAGGCCGGTACCACGGACTCACAGCAGTCCCTCTTGTGCATGGTCTGTGCACTTTGGTAGGGGGCATGTCTGTTTCATGGTACATCAAGTCTATGGCCATTTGCACATGACATGGGCATAGAGAGCACATTTGTTTCATAGTACATGACCAAATCTTGAAATATACACATTCTTGTCATTTAGATTCCATGTAGGTAGCATGTACAGTCCACAGTACATTACTGAATCTCAAAATATGCACATTTTTGTGTTTTAGAAATGGCATAGGTAGCGTGTACAGTCTGTGGTACATGACCAATTCTCAAAATATGCCCATTCTTGCCATTTAGAATCTATGTAGGGCTTGTATCCAGTCCATGGTACATGACCGAATCTCGAAATGTGCACATTCTTGCCATTTAGAAACTGTGTAGGGCTTGTATCCAGTCTGGAGTACATTACTGATTCTCCAATTATCACCATTCTTGCCATTTAGAATCTGCATAGCTACTGTGGTACAGTCTGTGGTACATTACTGATTCTTGAAATATGTCCATTCTGGTGTTTTAGAATCTGTGTATGGAGTGTGTGCAGTCCATGGTACATGACCGATTTTCTTTGCAGACTGCTTTTCATCTGTCAGAGTGAAAATAGCACTATAATAATTTGTTCAATTTGATATCATGTCTTTTGTCAATATACTTTGAAATGGTCAGAATATGTGAATAATTGTTTCATTGACATTGTATTCCAACATCTTTTTTGCTCCCCTTCTCCCTTTGTCAACTTCAATGCCAACTGGGAGACACAATGGGCTCCTCCAGTAGCATCCCTCTGTTTCCTTCCATAGTGATTGGCTCTCTTTCATCTGTTTTTGCCTTCTGATGTCCAGCTCCACTTCATCCTCTGACAATTCCTCTTCTTCTCTATGCTCTTGGAGAATGCAATATTCTCTTTCCTGCATGTCTATCTCTTTTTGCTTCTCTCTTTCTTCCCTCTCAATTATCGCCATGATTTCCTCTTTATCCTCTCTCTCCCCCCATTCCTTGACATTCCACAATGCTGGCATGTGACCACTCCTAATATAAAATCTCCAGTTCTCTATCCATGGATTCCAGATGAGGCAGACCACTGAACATGGTAGATCCTCTTTTTGAACTCATTTCAGTTTAATCAGTTCCCCTCCTGACTTCTCATAAACACACATCTGTGTACTATCAGACCAAACACACCACAGGAATTCATCAAATGCCCTCTTCAGTGCTCTTTGCATATCTTCCACTTGTCATGAAGAAGACATATCATGCATAAATCCTTCCCACATCTTTATTGATTTCATCTTTCTCCAGTTACTTCATGCAGACCATCATTTCCTTGTGTTGAGTTCATTTGGAGTCTGGAAGATGTTGTCAAACAGTGAATCCCACTGGCTCTCTGTTCCTTCATGCATTCATGCATGTGTCAACACTCCTCTAAGATCATTTTCTTTCATGATATGGATGTCAACCATCCACTGTTCATTCTGTGTCAGAGGAGAATGCTCCCATCCACATTTTGCCTGTCCAACCTTCTGCAGCATGTCAGACACATATTGCTGTAGTACTTGATTCAGAAATATTCTGGCATGCTCCAGATATTGTTCATCATATATCTGATCCTCTGGTGGCAGATTGGGCCCATAGTCATATGATTTTTCTCGCATTTCTATCTGTTGAGCTAGCCTTTCTGTCTTCAGCATTGGCTCCTCAGGTCAACTCTTGGCTTTCCTCATGCATCCTATGACCTGGCCTGTTGGCTTCAGTTCCACCAATTGTCACTGCTTCATGTGACTATCTTCAGAACAGAACTCATTCAGCGTCTTTCTAATGCCCAACAAATTCCAACCTGCCTCACTGGGCACTTGGATGACACTCTTGCATCATGGTATTCTTATACCATCTCCATTCTGCATTGGCCATGCAATCACACTGCTTGGAATCCACCAGAGTCCTCTCTCTGCATATGATCCTAGCTCATCTGTCCTGTCTCTCTTTCACATGCATAGAAGGATCATGTGATGATCTTCCTGCCAGTATGTTCATGGCCAGATGACATGCATCAACATCTTGTGTCCTCATCACTCTTCTGGCCATGCATGAAGTGAATTGGGTTAGGATGGTGTCCTCCCTTCGGCGAAGCCGTTGGGGGGACACAATATGAGTAAAAGAACTCACCTCAAAAGTGTTTGAGGTTTGTTTGAGTGCTGATATAGTGAATCAAGGTCCAACAGAGGGATGGGGTCACCATCTCTCACCCTGTTTCGCTTTTATAGCTCTTCAGGGACCTGATTCATAAGCGAGTGACGCAAATGAGAGGTTTTGGCGGACCAATCATTTTCGCTTTATCAGCAATCACACAATCCGCAGCACGGATGAGGTGAGCGGTTAGTAATTAAGGTACGACATCGTACCATTTATTATTCATACTTACTTACTCAGCGGCTTCTATTTAACCAGTTAGTCATACCATCTGACTAATTTTACCGTTTTGCCGTCGGCTACTAAGTTAACTGGGCCCGAAGGCTGAGAACCTAGCCAGCTTTTCGCCAGTCTGGTGGCCGAGTCTAGAACATCAGACCGTTAGGTCCGAGTTAAGGTTCGGGTTAATCCGGTTAGGGTTTGGGGCTGAGTAAGCATTAATTAGTATAATTCATTAATGCGTGACTGCGTCAACGATTAAGTTGACAGAACTTACTTAGGGTTAGGGTTAGTCCGCTGGCAGACTGCCTGCCATTAATTTCCGAGCTTTGGAAATCAGTAAGTTCCTAATAAAGGGTGTCATTGATTTATATAGCGGAAGAATGTACATTATGGTTATAAGTGGGAACGTACCCGACTTGATTTAACTGTTACCCCCGGCGGATTTTTATAACAGTCCAACTACTTGCGACCGTCCTGCATCTATAACCGGGATAAACCGCACTGTCCACAAGTCTGCTGTTTCGATCCGAAGACCTAGCAGAGTCGCATCAGGATGTGCCCATAACCATATCTATGAAGACCTGCGGATCAACGCTGCTTCTGTCAGAATCGTCGCCAGCAGCAGACGAATCAGAAGGTGGAACGTTTTGATCCGAGGATAGAGAATCTTCATCGTATTTACGGAGCACCATCTTTTTCCAAAGACTGGTCATGTCGAACAGATTTTTAGTACGTTTCTTACTAACTATCGTTCGTCTGTTTAGGATACCTATTGTTCTTATATCCAGCATGCCACGAGGGCCTGCCGGGGTTTCGACAGCCATCAAAAGACGGTTGTCTACCTCCGACGGTGGTATGTCTCCATACATCACCGACATATTATTCGGCGCAGTGCCGAGGCGCTCGATTCTTTCGATTCGATCGCGCCAGGTACCTAGGATGATATCTCCGAGTTCTTTCGCTTTGAAATAGTTCCACGCGGTATTATATGTGGACTTAAGTACTAAAACGCCGCTGTCATCTCCCCGCTGGGCAGCTACGCCCAATTGATCTGACCATCGTTTAGCAATATTATCTTTCATCTATTTATACACGTAATCCGCAGGGTAGCCGCGTGCGATGTATAAAGCATTTAAACTTTTAATAGCATCTTTGTAGTGCTCATGTTCACTACTTAACACAGCTAACCTGGACATCTCACCAATAAAAGTACCGCGTTTAACGTCAAGCAGATGATGGGATATCCATGGAATTCTTTCCTGGTGGGAGCGAGCTTTCCGATAAGGCATGTGTTGTATCGTGTTATTAGCATCGACATAAACAGTCATGTCCAGGAATGCGAGATGTGAGGGACTCGCTTCCCACTCTATTCTACAGCCGTCGAAAGCCACTGTTTCTAACTGCGCTAATGCTTCTCTTTCGTCATTAGCGTAAACGATGGCAAGACAGTCATCAATGTATCTTCCATAGAAAGGCACATTGGCGGTAAATTCTAATTGTCTCTCGAAATACCAACCATAAAGGTTGGCAAGATCGGGAGAATTGGCAACGCCCATTGCAAGACCGTTCCGTTGTTCAAAAAATAAATCATTATACTGTAGAACCAAATTCTTATTACCGACCGATAGACATTTGAGGAAAATCTGTTCTCGTCTGAGAGATTCCTCGTCGCCTGATGTACCGTAATACTCTCCGTATAGATGGGTAATAACATCTAGACACCTTTGGATAGGTATATTCGGATAAAAGGCAACAACGTCACCCGTAACTATAAATATTTTACGGGTTCGGTCGAGTTGAATTTGACTTAATTTTATCGCCAAGTCTTTAGATCCATGTAAAATGGTTGGCGCCGATGCGACAATCGGTTTAAGAATTTTAGATACGTATTTAGCTGCCGGATTCTGGATGGCGGAGTGGCATGGTATAATAGGCCGCATTTTAACAGGCTCCTTATGAATTTTAGGAATACCGTAAAATGTCGGCACCACATATTGTGCCCCTGGCGAAGTAATCTTCGACCGGAAATATTTCCCTAATTGGAATCCATTAGGAAGGTGGCGTTCAGCAAGCCCTGCAATTTCTTCCATGTCCGTGCATTGTTTATCGCATATCGCATTAATCATTAATAAATGTAATGGAGTATAATTAGTACTGTCATTAACGATATCGAGCGACTTTTCTATAATCCACTGGCGCGTAGATACAGCTATGCCCAGATTCTTGTCTGTGTTCGTAACCAAATAATTGTTACGATCCAAGAATTTTTGAATCTGGCTCGGTTTTGGGGCGAGCACCATTAAAGGCCCGTCCGATTCCGCTGGGATATTGGTGATTGTGTCAAACACGAAGCGCTCTCCCGCAGCGATGCCAGCTTCAATATACTGTGGTGACCTCGGTGCCTGTACATCGCGAGACTTGGGAATATCGAAGTCAGGATCATAGAGATCGTCGTCTGAGTTGTTCTTAGTAAAGCTAAAGTATAGCCTCCAACGGAGATGTTCTTTAAAGTCTTCCCACGCAGATTTAATTAAATCAGTATTACGGGGGGTATAAAACATGTATTTCATACCTACTGAGAGCTGAATCTCAATTTCTTTAGGGATGGTAACGTCCGGTGACTTATGTACTGAGTTATGATACTGAGCCGCCAATAAAATATCAATAGGTGTATGTAAATGTACAAAATTTAAAGCTACCGGATACGGTACTGTGAGCAACCAGTCGGGGTAAGTAGTGGCAATGTCATACCTGAAATTACTCGGGGTGCGCCCAGCGAGTACTACTTTCCCTAACCCTTCCCTTTGCCCTTCGGCGGTCCGGACCCTCCAGGTTTCGTTGTGTCGGGTATTCGTCGACGCGCCTTGGGTATATAGGGTTAGGATGGTGTCCTCCCTTCGGCGAAGCCGTTGGGGGGACACAATAATCATGAAGCGACCACTCACATAGCTGGTTAGGCTTGAGGATTGCTGTGATTGCTTGGTAAAGCGAAGCTGGGTCCAACAGAGGGATGGGGATTCCATCTCTCACCCTGTTTCGCTTTTATAGCTCTTCAGGGACCTGCTTCATAAGCCAGATGACTCACGCCAAAAGGTTGTTGGACCAATCAGCTAGGCTTTATCAGCAATCACGCAATCCGCAGCACGAAACGTGATACGGTTAGTAATTAAGGTACGGAATCGTACCATTTATTATTCATACTTGCTTACTCTGCGGGTTCTATTTAACCGGTTAGTCATACCATCTGACTAATTTATCCGATCCGTCGGCTACTAAGTTAACCGGGCCCCGAAGGGCCCAGAACCTAACCGGCTTTTCGCCGGGCCAGTCGGCCGAACATTTCTGCCGGACGGTTAGGTCCGGGTTAAGGTTCGGGTT